TATTGATATAATTCTATATCTGTTGGGTTCGCCCGCACAGGTTCAAATCCTGTTGGTGTCGATGTTGTTTTGCACTATATTTTTTGCAAAGCTTTATGCTGGCCTCAGAGGTGGAGTACATTGCGGCCTGTAGGTGGATGGAGGCCAGCCTCATACGTGAGGAAGTATTGGAAGGGACAGTCAACTGTCCATAATATATTGAGCTGTGCCGAGGTGAAAAAGGCAATACAGGCAACTTCTACATAAGGGAAGTCCATTGTTCACTCCCTTCATTGTTCGATACCAATCTATGTCTCCGGTATTGCAATGACTGAAGACTCATACTAGGCACCAACTGCAAGCCGATAATTATAGAATGCCAATCGCAATATCACCTTTGATCTTTGCGATAATTCGAATATCCACATCCAGATTCAGTTTGATGTGAATCTTCAAATTACCCTGGACATCGCCTGCCTCGTGCGTTCCCTTCCTGTCCTCCTTCTTATCTTCTTCGCGAGCACCTGCGTTCCCTTCTGGCTCGCTGTGGGTTGATTAGCTCGCCAGCGATCAGTACAAGTCGAATGCGCTACTCACGCCATAGCTGACGGACTATCGTCTGGATCCAGTGCTTCTATATTGCTTCGACCTTTCCCAACTAGCCTTGTAAGAGTATTTGCGCAGTAGCGTAGAATGGACAAGAAGTACAACTTCCAGCTCAGGGAGGGCTTGTGGAAGAAGCTTGAAGGATGAATAATGAAAGGAGAGAGTTGAAAGAATGCTCAGAATCTTCAGAAAAGGTGGGTGCCAACCGAAAAAGGACACAGACTGGAGTCGTGACCAGACTCCTTCGTCCTTTCGACGCAAGAACAATTGTACCTGACAGGGATTGAGGCTGGCTTGCGCCTCTGTCACCAAGTTGCCAGGTTGCGATATGAAAGGAGGGATGATCTCATGCTTAGCTGGCTGCAAATGTCTTGACTAAGAGCCTAGCCTGCTTGGATAGTCTTGACCCACAGGAAATGCCAGCCAATCAACAATTTTGCGTAATATAGTATGTAGATCACGAAACGAGGTTGGATGTCGAGGGTCGGCGTACCCGAGCGACCTCTAGCGAGAAATATGTTGTGTCATGGCTTTCGGACCTCATGCACGCCAAAAGCCGGAGTACCAGCAACCCGGGTTCTGTCTTCACATGGGGCAGATTTGCCAGAGTTTGATGGTACCCTCTCTGATTCGTGTGGGTGAACAGAGTACGGGCTTTCTAGTATCGACATCGATCAAGTGGACAATTCCATGTTATTGGAAGTGCGTCATCTCGCTCTTCACCCATGCACGGACCACTTCTGCCACGCATGCAACGGACTGAGTAAACTCTAAGTTTATGAGCTGGTTTTCCACGATTCTCGTACCGATCTCACGATCTCACGTTCGCTGACCAAGAGCTCTGTGCTTGTGCTTTGCATACATCCGACTATGTTCCTTTTGCGCACGTCCACTGTTGTTGCCTATACTTAAAAGGTAACCTTTAGCATTGTGTGGTTTTGCGAAATGGTACTCGGCCTGCTCTCACTAGCAACGGCCGTCCCACTTTTAGCCACCTCTACCATTCAAATTCAAGACAGTGCGCAAAAGCATCAGCAGCAAGGAGAGAGCGGTCCAGCAAGCGGAGATGCCAGCGGCGATTCCAGTTGGAAGACTCAAACATGCCATCTCACGGTCAGGTGTACAGAGCGCATGAGTGATGCACGGAAGAAGGCACTGAACGGTTGTAACATCGTTCTGCGCGACGGTGGTCTTTTCGCCTCAAGCCCAAACACGCGAGTCCACAGTGGTCATCCCTTCACGGGCTATCTCCTACCTTTCCCGAATTCCAGCTATCTTGGCTTGGTGTCGACCATCTCGAAAGACCCGCCAATGCTCAATTGGATTTATATAGATCGCGAGACGTACGAGGTGAAATATGGAGTCCGGAAAGTGTCAGAAACGCAGGTCACAGGGCCCTTCGACTATAAAACAGGGGTTGTCTCGATGACTATCACCCCTTCTAAAGGGGAAGTTGAAAGAAATGAAGAAGGTGAGAAAAGACTGAAGCTCAACAACCGTGAAGGTTTTGTTGCAGTCGAAGAGGAGGAGGATGTGTGGAAATTATATTTTGACGTCGATAATGATGGCTTGAAAGGGGTCAAAGCTGGTAACAGTGGCAAAAGAAATGCGGAGATTGATCTCATAAGAGTTCTCGCAGACGAAGAAACAAAGCCACTCTAGGGATCCAGAATAAGATGTTGCGCGAAATATCAGAACGTAACGCAAGCTCGTGTTCGGCAAGACGCCTGTAAGGAGCCTACCGTCCAGGTCTGAATCGTAAGGCAGACATATCGTAAAAGGTTGGGGACGGACGTTGTCAAAGATAGGACTGTCAGAATCCCTGCGTATATGATACGTATCTGTTACGTATTAGCATGATGGTACCACCAGGGGGTGTCAAAATTCATTTTACCACAATTTGCGCCGAAATTTAACCGAATTAAGTCAACAACTCAACCACGCGTTTTCTACACAAATTCTCTTAATCAATTGAGCAAGATGAGTCCTCCTACTACTCCAAATAAGGCTATTAAGCACAGAGAAGCTGATACTTTGAAGAAAACTCGTTTTTTCGAAGCCTATGACTCCCAAATGCGCGGAATTGAATCTCTTGCTCTTGAGCACGATATCACGAAACAAACAGCTTATAATTGGCTCAGAAAACGTCGAATTCAAGGATCTCCTGCTTATCGAAGAAATCGAAAGCTCTCAGAGCGTCTGGGTCGAAATCAAAAGCTCACAAATCAACAAATTCAACGCTTGTTATCCCTTTCAAATCCTGTTCGAAATCAATATTATGAGCATCAAATTGAGCATTTTCAACTATCTTGTAGTGTCTGTACACTCTAAAGGACACTTAAAAAGCGTGCAAATAATGCCTGACGTTACAAATCAGTCCGAATCAAGCAAATTTCGTCTAGTAATAAGAAAAAACGGAAGAAATATGGTCAAGAGCATCAAAATCAAACCATTCAAGATTTTTGGTCCAAAATCTATTTCACGGATGAGGCACATATAGATCCATCAGAGGTTTTTCAGCAGTACATTCTACAGGAAGAGGGTACTCGATATAAACCAGAAAATGTACAGGAAAAATGTCACGTGTCACGTTGGAAGCAGGCGACGAGTGCGCGAGATCTTCAGCCCATGTTGAGTGCTATCCTAAGACTGAAGAGTCGACGGTGAGGGCCCTGGGGTCGCTTCTATATAGCAAGCATGCCCCTTACTAACGTCTAGTGCTAATCAATACCCGGCGCCCTAGCGCTAGCGGGCGACAAGCATGGCAGCCGTGACAAAATACCTAAAAAGAAGAGAATAAAGCTTCATATTACTACTTGGATTAATTGGTATTTAAAGGCTAAAAAACTAGAGTTCTATAATGATGAAAATGATCATCTTAAGCCCTTAAAGAGACCTAGTAAGCCGCGGAAGAGGAAATATGAGACAGAAGAGCAATTCAAGCAGCGAATAGTTGATTAGGAGGCCAATTTGCCCCATGAAGTTGAGACAAAACCAAAAGGCAATTCAATGACCTAAAAACATTATACAAAGCGCTTATTGCCTGTTTATATCAAGGCTATTCACGAGGCCTGAATCTCTTGTGGACAGGATGCTATTCTACAAGAAGATAATGATCCTTCCCATGGCACAAAATCAGACATCAATGTTGCTCGAGAGCTTAAGGACAAGAATTGGATAACAGTTCTTATTCATCCTGCCTAATCGCCCGATTTAAACCCTATGGAAGCCATTTGGGGCATTCTAAAACAGCGAATTCGAAGAAGAAGATGGGACGATCTTGAACAGCTTAAGGAGGTTCTGCAGGACGAATGGAGCAATATTAGCATGCAGGAAGTTCAAACACGTATCGCTGAAATGCCTTCTCGATGCAGGACCCTAGCAAATTCAGATGGAAAGGCCATAAGGTCGTCATTATGGTGAAATGGAGATGATATTTGTACATAGGAGGAGCAATTGTCTATTTCGGCTAAATTTCGGCGCAAATTGTGGTAAAATGAATTTTGACACCCCCTGGTGGTACAAGGGTCCCCGCATGCAAAACGCACGAAACGCTCTTGTAACTGTTACGCCCTGTTATTTATGGCAGTGAGCATTGCTATACGAATTGAACGCCAAATGCTGTTTCTGAGCTGTTACAGTAATGCGCTCCTATAGCTATTAGTATGAGCAAATGCTCCTCTTGATAGGAGTAACTCAATCAAGTGAATTGGCACCTCCGTACGCTGTTTGCTACTACTTCTAACAAGGACATGTCAAACCAGATCCAGTGACAGCGAGCAGAGGACCTATACGACAGCAAATCCTTTGAAATAACAAGCGCTATGGAAGTTCTCACATAACATCTATCCAAGGACGTGTGTTCAAAGCCCGGAGGCCTAACTAATCGATAAGAGAAGCTGCCCCTCACTGCATTGGCACCATACGCCGATGGGGCTATTATTACCCCGCCTAGAAAGTGCTCTCTCCCTGTAATACCACAACCATCACTTTCCTCCCCAGGAATTCCTACTGTTCCTCTTATACATACTTTGATTATTCGAGGTACCATATCTCCCCGTTGGTTCATCATCATATCCGGATAGAGCTGCCAGTATTTCTCAATTGTCAAGATGGGTCGTAAATTCTTCGTCGGAGGAAACTTCAAGATGTACGCTGTCCTCCTAGTTCGTGTTAGCACTTCAAGCGATGTTGATATCACACAATGAATTTCTCCCTCTGGTTCTCTTCTTGACCCGAGGGTACAATCGAGGTGCTGAACTTCTCTTCAGGAATGGCACGGTATCCAGCATCAAAGACATTGTCCACAATATATCTACAGCCAAAACAGGTCAGATTCCACTTGCCTGGTATAATCAGCATTTCTGCTGATGCCAATGCCTTGCTCAGACCCCAATACCGAAGTGGTAGTTGCTCCTCCAGCTCTCTACCTCCTCCTCACTCGTGAACATCTCGACCCGAAATTCGAAGTGGCAGCTCAAAATATCTTTGACAAGCCCTCCGGCGCCTTCACAGGCGAAATCTCAGCCTCCCAACTCAAAGCTAGTGGGATCAATTGGACAATACTTGGGCATAGTGAGCGACGAACGGTACTCAGGGAAGATGACGACTTCATTGCCAGCAAGACGAAAAGTGCCATCGAGCAGGGAATTGGTGTGATACTCTGTTGTGGAGAGAGTTTGGAGGAGCGAGAGAAGGGCACTACAGTCGATGTGGTCACGAGACAGCTGGACGCAGTCAATAAGATGGTAGACAAGGAAGCGTGGAAGAATATCGTCATTGCCTATGAACCAATCTGGGCAATCGGCACGGGCAAAGTGGCTACTACTGGTAAGCACGGCCTGCCGCATGTTGTTCTGTTCAGCTTGGTGCTAACAAGACTTTCAGAACAAGCACAGGAAGTCCATGCCGCCATTCGTGACTGGCTATCAAAGTCTGTCAGCTCTGAAGCTGCTGAGAACACGAGGATCATCTATGGAGGAAGCGTCAGCGACAAGAATTGCCGAGAGCTGGCCAAAGAGAAGGATATTGATGGCTTCTTGGTCGGTGGTGCCAGTCTGAAGCCTGCTTTTGTCGACATCATCAACGCGAATCAGTAGTGGTAATTACCGTAGAATCAGCAACGATGAGAAAAGTGAAAGAAAGAAAGAAAGCTATAGATTACCGTCGAATACAAGACCGGACGATTTCCAAACTTGAGGCGAGTCCCCAAGTGTGTCCCCAGTCACCCACTTGGCTCTACTCCGTACACATACGTACTAGTACTACTGCCTGGACCCAAAGAAGGACTTCTTAGCAACGTAGCAACGTCACCTTTCTCATCATCGCACTGATTCATGGCCGCTTTTTCTCGCCACTACTGCTCTCGCTTTCTCCCCCGATGATGCCGTAGGTACGGTATCCCAGTCGCGAGCGACCGCCTCAAGCTTCACACGAGCAAAGCAGCAGGATACAGGAGCGCATCAGCCAGAACTCGCGCGGAACCCATCTTACGTATCCAAGAGTGCAAGATTCTGAAAGGTTGGCCTGGTAGACAAGGTACTGATCATCACAACCCAAGAACCAGGAGAGCAGATACGTGCTACTATGTTTGGTCAGTATTTGTTGAACAGTGCGCCAATTGCGTAGATATTACGACGTTGTTCTTATATTCTGTTACGTAGAAGATCAAGGAGTCTACCACCGCGAAAAGGCGTGGCTGCGATTTATTTCGACGTATGAAAACAGCGTCATGCTGGGAGGTGTATCTGACCTTACTTATAATATAGTCTCCAAGCGAAGAAGGCTATGTACAAGAATAGCGAAGGGATATGTTCATAGGCTCTCCATAGCCGATCATCTCTAACAGGTAGAGGAAACTTTATCCTATGGTAAAACTGGCGCCACGGCTCGGACCGTTCTAGCTAATGGCATTCCATGACCTTAGCATCGGTTCTCACGCACCGGAGTATGTTAGTAAACTTGCGCCTTAGATGAGGCGTAACCAGGAATAAGGGAAAAGCAACCGACCGAACTCCTTGTGCGATGCATTTCGTGTAAGGGAGAAATAAAAAATAATAGCAACTGAATTAGCATTCGAGCCTGTTGTGACGAACGGGACGGAAACTCCAACGATCTCCATGCTGCTAAGGTCATGGAATGCCATTAGCTAGCATTGTGTGCTTAGCAGTCAGCCTTTTTCAAGCAGCTAATGAAGAGAAATGCTGGCAGGCTAATAAGATCATGATGTTCGCGAAGCGTTGTTCGTTGGTTGTGTGTCAATGCTTAAACCACTGGTGAAGCTGTTGTTTGCCGTGTAGTGCTTGAGATCAAGGCTGGTACACAAATTGGAAATGTTTGTTGTGTGCCTGGTCCAGTGGCCGAACAATCGGCCGGGTTCATAGGACAAAACCAGATCCGTCAAGAGGTGGCCCATCAGTCCCGGCCTCAGAATATTCAATGGGCGTAAAGTCTGTTAGAAATTCTGAAATGAAGGTTTCTTCAAGGGCGGCCTCCGTGTAGGTCACTTCGGGAGGTGACGGTGACGGGCAAGCAGATTGACCGGGCTGACAAACACCTAAGGGCAAGATGCCATCTGCCAGGGCCTGCGGTGGAAGGTTACCAATGGAGGGATTGGAGACATGTTGACCAGCATGATGAGCTTCATAAAGCTTCAACATGTTGGCAACATCGTCGAAGCCATTGACGCGAGCTGCCTGAGCAGGAGTGACATTATCAATGATGTAATTTGCGTCGGCACCTTTCCGGAGTAACAGCGAACAGACATCTTTGTGGCCTGCCCGAGCAGCATCGTGCAGTGGGGATCGTGACCCGAGATAATGGTCATTCGGACTTGTCACGCCCCCAAGCTCCAGCAGCCATCTAACGATATCTAGGTTGCCTGCGGCAGATGCGGCACCAAGAATGCTTTGGCTTGCTTCATCCCGGGCAAAGACGTCTGCACCTGCTTGTACTAGGGATTCGAATGTTTTCAGATCTCCCTGATAAGCTGTGTGAAAGAGAGGCGTTCTGTGAAAGAGATCTCTGCTCTGCAGTAGACTCTTGTCATTTTGCACAAGTGTTTCGAGCAGGGGTAACTTCCCAACAGCTGCTGCTGCGAGAACAAAATTTTGCTTGAGCATGTCAAGATGCTGCAAAGCACCATCCGATTTGCAGAGGAACTTAGCAACGTCATCATCGCCACATCTTAGAGCGCTGTGCTGAGCTGGAAAAGCTGAGGGGTCAATGGCATAGAGAGGGGCTTCGGCTGGTAGGCTGAGGCGGTCAAACAGCGCTGGGAGTTTCTTGTAGGTTTCTACCCATGACTGCGCCGTGTGTTCAATGTGAGAGGCATTAGGGACGATGGTTGATCCATGATGTAGCTTCGCACGTCTGCGAGAAAACCGTCTCACCGCCGGTGCGTCTTTCTGCTGCTCGTAGATGAGAATGAGCTTGGTCAGAATGGTAACCTCCAAATCAACAAGGATCTTGACTCTGGGGCCAAGCTTATTGATATCTTCTACCGTGTCCAACGCTTCCCGGTATCGCAGGTTTCGCGACTCGGTTGATCTGCCATCAACCTCTATTAGATCAATGATGGCCTCCAGCGCATGTTGAACGCGATAGGCAGTGCACACTGCGAGAATCTTAATATTGTTGGTAATAGAATGCCCGTATTCAGTGGAGAGTGGAGGTTTCGAGGCCAGTTCTAGGCCTTTCAAATGCTCGTAGAGTATGAAAAGGTAACCGAGATCGATGAGTCTAACAGTTACCACTGATCAGTGCTCTGCGGGTTGGAGCAACACCTTTGTAGTGGCCTACCTCGACCCCAATACATCCTGCGTTGGATCACAAGATGTCGTCTCACCCGGGTCATCGAGCAAGCTTTCGGTGTTGCAGAGTTTGCGCTTCGGCGTCGAGCCGGATGATACTGACAATAGCGTCGTAGTAGGAGGAGAGAGAGGGCTTCGCTGAGAGGATGAGATTGGGGGTAGATGTGGACGCGGACCCGAGCCGTTGCCGAAATTGGGTGCAGCCTCCGAGGGGCCTAGGCCACCGTAGTCTTGATTGTTATTATTCTTGTCATTCCTGTCACTCAAACTCAGCCCCGACTGACTCTTTGCCCGCTTTGAGGACCGTCCCTCAGGACCCGACAACGGAGAATCCTTGTAATGCAAGGGCGGTCCGCAGAGCAGGTTTGACTCTTTACACTCAGTGCAACGTTCTTCGGGCCAGATTCGTGATGCTGGCAAGCACTATGATTCTGTTAGATAAGTACCTCACAGGACCGATATCTGCGGTCAATCCAGCGAAATCCCTACCTTCTTGTGTCTCTGTCGACAGCAGTCACACTTCACATAAGATCGACCAGTGTCCCCTTCGTTCTGCTGGCACAGCTGGTTTATTCTGGAACTCATGACTAAGTATCATGTTTAGCACTGGGGGTGGAGTGCATTGCAAGCTTGTACAGAGTCAAGTGCGGGAGAGAGCCGTGGTCCAGCAAAACTACGCCCACGGAGGACCACCCTCTTACCTCTTTTACGACACGAGCATCGGGCTCCTAAGACTCTTTGGGCAATATCTTGCTTTTCTTCTGATTTGTCAGCCTTGTGCGTTCATGCGTTGGGGCAGTAGAGCCTATGTGAGTTGATGTGCCTCCAATTAACTGTCCCCATCCTTTGCCGCCGCTTCCTCAACTTGCGATGCGATGCGAAGCGGAGCGAAGCGGAGCGAAGCGGAGCCAAAGCAACCCCATTTGCACGGGTCAACTCCTGTCAAGGGCGACGAACACGTATCCTTTTTCAATCATTCTAGAGAGGCGCCTGCCCTCTGCGGTCATCATGCATCTCGATTGACATCGTACAGGCACTGAACCTGTTGTAATGTCTGGGTTAAGTTGTAAGTCGAAGCGAGAACGTACGAGCGTCTAGTTTGCAACTGCCTCCTAAGACACTGGGCAGACGTTTGTTTGTTGTATTTCCAGCCCCCTCGCGGTCACTTTCCTCTTTTGACGCAAGACCGCTATAAGACTTCTGCTTGGAGCATTTCACCCCTTCTTCCGTTTTCTGCTAATCATCGTTCCTTCTGGGATGTGCCCTTCATGTCTTTTGGGTTTTCTTGCATCGATTTCTTGCCCATCGCCGGGCTTGCTTTGAGTTTCTGTAAGTATGCCCACCATGTCGCCTCGGAAGTACCAGATATACGACTTCACCAACTACGCTGCGAGATGGCTACCATCGCCAGGGCGTGTGCACGAGCGTCAGTACCTCTCGAGTAGGTACAGTTCTCTATTGGTGGCCTCGACCTAACAAATGCTGTCAGTGTATACTGTATCAGTGAAGAGGAGCTTCATCCGGAACAACCGAAGCTATCTCAAGATATAGTTGACCATTGGTTCAAGCTCAGCAAACAAGAAGGGGGCGCAGCTTGTCTGCATCCACCTGCATCATCCCTACAGAGTCTCAAGTACAAGGCGAGCAGATTGATGCAGGATCTTGAGCAAAGGGTCTTCATCAGCAGAGATGCCTCTGTCATTAGTTCGCTAACCAGGGAACCTAGGCCACGGAGAGACGTCTAGTTTTGGTTTGTCAAGAAATGGGTGGATTTATTCTAAGAGAGGTGGGTTTCACCGCGTATAAACTTCATCCTTGCTCATCAAAGAACAGGCTCTGGATACAATGACCTCTACGACTCGTGGGAGATGGCTTCTTGATCGTATTGCTGGTGTTGTAAGAATGGCCTTTCAGTCTGACCACGTCACTATCTGACCTTGACTCAAGGTATACCTTGACCTGATCCAGCTTTGCGAGTGCTCGAGGTGGCAATCTTCCTTTATAGGGGTTGAAAGCCAGCACAGCGGCACAGCCCACAACTCTGAGCGGCACCACACCCGTATCTTATCAAACGGACTGCGTCTGGGTACTCAGGAAGTCAAACATTTGCCTGGATTTATCAAAACTATCACCATCCGCCTGAATGATAATCCTTCGTTCTTCATGCAACAGGTTTGATCAGTATACTACATCACACTCGCATCATGCTAATTGGAGGTATAGTGTTACCCCAACACTTCACTATGTTCTAAAAACCCTTCTTGTGCTCGCCGCGTAAAGCAGACCATCGACATCCGATGCAGCAGGGAAGATCTTGCAGATTGTAGACTCTGGTCCATCATTCGACTCGTCCAAGGCAAGCAGGCGCAAATTATACATCAAAACCACCCGCTGATTCCCTCCAGGAGAAAGGTGCGCCCTTCTGGGCATGCATGATGTGAGTGCGCATCTCAACTCTATAGCATTGATCGAACGATATACCTATATGATCGTGGATGCCCTCGATGAAGGAAGTCCCACAAGGAAAGACATCGTTTCCAAAATATTGAGTTGGACTGCATGGTCAATGAGGCCTCTGGACTCTTCAGAAATGTTTGCTGCACTCGCAACTCGGGTAGAAGTTGGTGGTTTCGCAAAGTGTCGTTCAGAATCACATGAATATCTAGGACCCTCAAACGAAGAAGAGCTCATCGCATTTTGCCCCGAAATACTCGAGGTTAGACAAGGAGGTCAGGTTACTTTCCGAAACGAGCACCTGAGACTCTTGATCCGGTCATCCTGGTCTAGAGGTCTCGGATTTGCATCGCCCGAGGCCGTCCATGAGAGTATGGCGGCGGTCTGCTTCCATCATCTTTGCTGCATTCACGAGGAGACTATCCTCCGCCCTTGGATCGACACTGGACGTTTCCTGAGGTGTGAGTTAAGGCAGTGTCATCTTCGGTTATACTCCACCAGTTACTGGCAGGACCACTACCGAGCGGCAGAGGCAAGTAGCAAAAAGCTTGTCTCGATGCTCCATAGCACACTTGAAATGGCCTTGACTGCAAGAACAATTTCAAATGGTAACAGGGTCATTGATCCGATATCCAGAATGAGCACTGGTATTTCGATTTGCTCTCTTTGGGATTTGGAAATTCTCGGCAGAACCTATCTTGAGATGGGAGCAGACGTGAACTATTGTTATGGATCACATGAAGCACCCCTCCTTGTTGCCGCTGCCAATTCCTCTTTGAGGATGCTTCGACTGCTGTTAGATCGGGGTGCTTTCCCCGAGGTGCGTGATGAGTTTGGGCTCACTGCACTACAGCAAGCCTGCCAAGCGGGTGCCTTGGACGTCGTAGCCCTCCTTCTTCAGAAAGGCGCCGATCCAAAATCTTCATATGATGGCGATACAGCCACTTCCACTAGAAGCATTTCGCCCGCTTGGGCTCCTTTGCATTTCGCGGCAAGCCATGGCCACCTAGATATTGTTAAAGCACTTCTTCAAGCCGGCTCAGACTTAGAAGCTTCGACAGCGGAGCCCGGAGCCACAGCGCTACATCTAGCGGTTAAAGGCGGCCACGAAGATGTCGTGCGCTACTTGGTTGAGTTGGGAGCTGAAATGGAAGCTGAGACCAGCATGGTCGAAACTGCGCTAGATATTGGCATACAGGAGCAGCACGATTCAATAATAAGATATCTCATGGACAAAGGCGAAGAGCGTGCAAGAAATATCGTACAGCACAAAACCTACCCTGACCAAATCTTCAACAATAAATTTATCACTCCGATTACATCTCATTTTCAATCATTGTCAATCAAAACGACCAGTACCTCGCCTGATGGGCCAAATCTGGTCCGTTCCACTTCATTCAGGTCGCCCATGACCCCAGTACCTAAGTCATGCGCGCGATATGATACCACTGTTACCACTGTTCCGCCGCAGAGTGTAGCTGGATTATAGTTGACGACGAGGACCTCGCCCTTCGTTGCGAGGCCTCGAAGGGTGCCATTGCACCATCAGAGCAAAGTCTGGCAGCTGTCTGACAGCTATGTGAATCCAGGCAATTTGCCACCACATCCCCCCCTCGTCCCCCCTAGTTACTAGTTTATTTAAGGGAGCTGTCTGCTCTTTGGCTGGAGCTGTGTGGCGTTTGCATTCGAATTTTTGTTCCTGAGAAGATTTGCGATCTTTCACATCTTGCAGCGCTCACGCGATTGCTTATTCTTGATCCATTGAAGGGTTGTTTCTACGTGGATGGGGATTTCTTATACTCAGGCGGACTTGAGCAGGTAGTGAGGGTCTGATATATGAATGAGCATTATGGGTTGCAGGAGAGCAATTGATAAATTTCTTTTCCTTTATACAACACAAGATTTTCTGTCGTTCCTGCCGCTGAGCACAGAGTGGATCGTTTTGTTCCTCCTAAACCTGTTTGATCGATTAAAGCACCGGTTTTCCCACTTTCAAAGGAATACCCTTTACGATTTCTTGAAACCATCAAGGCGGGAAGGACGGTTGACAGGGGAAGTACACAACTGACTGCTGATAATGAGTATCTTACGTTGTTTTCCGCAAGCTTTCCCACGTTCTTACGAATTGAGAAGGGTAGACGCTGTCATTGTTTTCCGGGTGTTTTTCTCTACTTTTGCTCCCGTCCCATCATCTCTTGTTCTACGATATGCGGCCGTTACACCAAATCACCAATCTGCTGGATTGCGGACCAGTATATCTAGTTTACTTATATTCTACTTCTCTACTTTTACTCCTAATTATTGAGATTAGTTCTTATAACCTTATATAGTAATTTCCTGGTTACTCTTTATAGCTCTAATATATCTACCCTTATCTTTTCTTAAGCAACTTATCAGTTCTTATCAACATAAATTAAAGCTTCCTGCAGCTTGCGTTGAAAACAGTCAATGATCATCTCACTATTGTTCTCCACTACATCCACGCACAGAGGGTATGTACTTAGTATTCTATCAAATACCAAGCAAACCCACAGATCCCAACCCTCGGGCTCTACAACCGGTTGCCACAATTCGCACAGATATTCCGCCAGACATGAAACCGCCCGGATCAACTCGTCCGCGGTCCGCAAGTCCTGCACGGCGCATACCGTCTCCGGCGAGGTGTAGTAGCAACCCAAGCCATGCGTGAGATATAGATCACATGCTAGATGCTTTCCGTCTCTGATTCCTTAGAGAGCTTCAAGTGCTTGAACTATTCCCTCCCTTCATCCCAAGCTGCCTTTCCTCACGCGAGTGGCATGCCATCCCACCCCCGCTCTCGCACCGCGGCGGGTAGGGTCAGCATCGGCGCCGACGCCTTCCCCTCCTCCCCCGGCTAGGCTCCAAGTTGGACCTACGTTAGAATATGGCCCATAGGGGTGCGCTGGGCCTTTCAACTCCGAATGCAAGCACCTCTTTTCGCATACACTATCTAGCTAGTTGGTGTGCGCGAAGCGCATCCCAGCACGCGCATGCGCAACAACCCCAGATCAAGGGCGCAAGCGCCTCGACCCAATGCTGCGGACTGCATGAAATACCTACATAGATAAAAAGCTCTCTCTCACTTTCCCCATGTATGCTTCTGTATTTTATCTTGCTGTGAAGCAAGATCGGGTATTCTGAACGAAAATGTCTGCCGGTACGGGCAACGGTTCGATGAGGAGGGGACAAGAGGAGGGACAAAATAAGGTGCGGCAGCTTGAGTTCAACCTGACGCTCTTGCGTGAGGATACGTGGGCGTACGGATGCGGCAGAGCCGAGGATAAATGGGGAGATGGGAAAGGAAGAGCAGATCAAGGAGGGGAGGGGCAACGGTCCAGCAAGCAGGGCGACGCTGTGGGCATGATGAACAAGCAGAATCGAAGAGGTCAGGTCTTTCCTTGTCTCATGATTCTCTCTCTGTGCTGCTTTTTGGGACACTTGGCTCCAATTTTCTTGATGTGAGGAGAGCTTGCTAAGACCTCATCTTTCTCGGTGCAGGCTCCTCGCTGTCTGTCCATGCCAGTCTTTCCAGCCCCTCGGCTCGAATCGAGAAGCCTGAAAGGCCGTTGCAGATATCAGTTCGCCACCAACTCGGCCGCCAGGAAAGAGAGACAGATCTCCTTGGTATTGGCGCCGGTGTTGGGTGAATGCAAACCCCATTTGGTTTGGAAGATGTGCAGAAATTAAAATAGAAGTGCAGCTAAAGGAAGGAAAGATCGCCATGAGGCTGGCTTCGTTGTTACCGAGCCTGCGGAGGATGGACAACTTCGTGTGTGGGGATCGGAGAGCAGGTCGATCTATAGAGCGATTCTACATCAGGGCGGGAGACGTGCCCGTGATCGCACAAGAAAGCGATGGAGCGGACCGGTGCAAGTCCCGGCAGGTCAGAAGGACACAGCTTGCCGGCCGATCCCAACGAAGGTGTCTTACAGTACGGGCATTGTACTGGTACGAGATGGGTTTGGACACTGTGAGGGGGTGAGGCTCACTCTGTGCTGGCCTGCTCAGCTCTTTCGTATCGTGTATATTAGCGGAACGGCTCGTCGGCCAGGCAAGACATATTGAGATGCGAGAGCCGAAAGGCAAGGAGTGAGCTTGCAGTGACATGTCCTTTGCTACTGAATGGGGCGCTTGATGACAGAGCGCCGATCATACCAGGACTTTATTATATCCTGTAAAAATAGAAAGATAGAAATATTTGCCGCACCAACTCAGTGTTTGGATCTCGGATACTGAGACCTCGTTGGTCAGTTCTTGCCGGAAGCGACAAATCCGGTGACGCATGACATTTTGCCATTTTTTTCCCCACAACTTACCGAGTACGAAGCAGGCACTGCGGGCTGGAAGCCAACATGAGTCGTGCACCCCGGCGTGAATGCGACTTTCTGACACATCGTTTAACCGGAATGGCAGGTCGCCCGTCTCTCCATCATTTTTAGGCAACCAGCGAGCACTTTATCCACTAACTTATTTGTGATATTAAGCCACCTTTACGAGACGCACAACACAGATGGCCTAGGCCGATGATCCTCGCTTAGAAGGTGTGGGTGTGTGTGTGTGTTGCTGTGGATCTGGTGGGTCTGACGTACACGGAACAACACAAGACAAGACGGACTCAAGTTGGTTGAATACTACGTAGTAAGTACATCATGATACTAACTACTAGTTAGTAGTAAGAGGAGATGGCCAAGCCAATTGATCTTGGCAACGGGCTTTGCTTACTACTAGCTTGACATCAGTCATCCACAACCTGGATCTCTTCTGCGCTATCTGCGCTATCTGCGCTATCTGCACGGACGGGGGTGTGTGTGAACCATTGGACAGACCCGAAATAAATGTTGAACACGCGGCGCTTGCCCTTCCCCCTTCCAAAAGAAAGAAAAAAGGTCCCGTTTAGGAAGTAGTCAGGGTTAAGGAATATGCAAGAGAGTCCGAAAGTGGAAGAGAGAAAGAGTGGCCGTTGCTAGTGGGAGGGCCAGCCTCGCACCTGCAAAAGAGTAATTATTGAATTGTCGGGGAAATTGTACAAAAAAGCCCCGATCATTTCGCGCCGGAGAAACTTCCAACAGGAGAGCCTCCATGGGTATCAGAAGACACTCGCTTGATGCTGCCAAAGTCTGCCGTCCTCTCGCAGGCTTGCAGTCAACAGATCCGCCCCTGGAGTCGGCAAAAATATCCAATCCCCCATAGTCTAACCGTCCTAACCTCTTCTTTGGTATTATACAGCTCTGCATTGGGAAAGATGGACATGGATAAAGCTAAGCGAGTGTGTCGGTCGCGTATGATACAAACGAATCCAGATTAGAATACACAAGAAAACCATGAAGCGAGTGTGGGTATCTTAAACGAATGTGGGTATCAGTAGTCATTAGTCGTTGCGAGGATTGACAATATTTCCAAGACTCATCCTTGGCCGCTTGGGGTCTGGCTGTCTTGTGGTGCCATTGTCGCCCGGTCGTCCCGCTGCTCGACCTTCACGTTCTTGATGCTGCTGTTGGGCTTGCCTCTGCTGTTGCTGGGCCATCGCCGGGTCTGTGTACGCTCCAGGAGGAGCCGGCCTGATGGGCGGAAGTTGCAGCTCCGGAGCAATGGATTGTTGGGGAGTATATAAGCTGGCTGGCACCTCGAACAAGCCCTGTTGCTGGACGCTGGTTCGTGGAAACAGCGAAACATTGTACGAACCGGTGATAGGTGGATAAAACTCCTGAGGAGACGCCTGACCACTATAGCTGCCACGGTAGCCTCTCCCTCGTGGAAACTGTTGTTCTGGGCTTCTGCCAGCAGATGGCGTCTGATAGTAAGGAGATGGAGGCTGGCTGGAGGGCAAAGAAGAGCTGCTCGAAGGAGGACGTTGTGCAGCTGGATTATATGTGGTCCCTGAGGCCGTTGCATAGCTCGAGCCAACGCTCGGCGGAGCGTACATGCCATATGGGCTGGGTGCAAGGGCCACGTGGGGACGTTGGATACCTCCTTGTTGCCCTGCAGCCTGGGGTACCATATCTCGCGGCGCAATCGATGGTCTCTGGTAAGGATAAGAGTATGGTTGAGGCCCTGGTTGGGATGATCCTGCAAATGATCCTCTTTGCGCTTCCGTAGCTGATTCAGGCTCCGAAATCGTGCGTGTTGCACTGTCGTCAGATTTCAACGGGGGCCGTCCCCTTTTTTTGTGTTGAACATCGACACAGGTATCCTGGGAGGGCAAGGTCAGCTGAGATCGGCATGGCGTAAACAGTATTCCTAACCTCCTTTCCAGATTGAATACAACGTGGGCATGGTCTGGAGTTGTCGCAACGAAGATGCTTTCTTTTACAATTAACGCAAGCTGATGGGACGTGTACTTTTGATTTCCTGGTGCTCTTGGGAGAGCTCGCACCGGCGACATACTGTGCTTGAAAGGGCGAGGATGCATGACCCGGGAGCACTGAAGCTCCCGCCCCGAACCCATAGGGCTGGGTGGCAGGATATGGCGCTGACCATATGGCGGGCTGTATACTGATTCCAGTTGAAGCAACCACATCGCCACGCCTTTCCGCACGACTTTCTGAAACGATTGTTGCTGTGGCCACCACGGGCGCGCGAACTGGAGAAGCTGCGCTTGTAGTGGGAGTACCTGATCTTTTTCTCCGACGGCCTCCTGCTTGTGATGTTTCAATTGGGTGCTCCGGGGGTGGGGACCCGGACATAGGAGGTGAAGGTAGAGAAGCCCAGCAGGGCGTTGGAATTGGTTTGGACAAGCTCAAATTCAGCGAGAATCGGGAAGGGTCGCTATCAAATCTGTGTCTCTTGAATGAAGGGGGTATTGGCGGAACTCCGGGCAGCCGTAAGGAGTGCATGAGGGTGACGGACAATCTAAGGCCACGCAAGGCAATGACAAAATCTCACGTACTCTGATAAAGCCCGTGCTGTCCAGATGCAGGTCAACGTGGTGATTTTTGTCGCAAGAGAGACACAGATCAATGTTCCAGTGATCCGGAGTGCCACAACTCGATCCCGTGAATTCTACGCTGTTCATGACGTGGCATCAGTATAGCACCCACGTCAACAAGAGACTGGTCCCAAAGAACAGATAGAGAGAAATAAAAAAAACTTTGATGCATCGCGCGCGCGCATGCGCTGCCGGACAAAGCGCTCTTCTGCTCTGGAGATGTATGGAGGGGTTGTGTTAGCTGATGAAAGGCGCCGTACCGTGAGCCAATACCACATTGAATAGACACTCCAGGGAGGACTCATTTGACCGGGGCCAGCAAATCCGGTCTACCGGGACATCCCATGAACGTGAATTATCCTATCCTGCGAAGAGGGAGCTGGACGTAATATGTACCTTTTTCGCTTAGAATTTAAGAGCCTCAGTTATTGGCATCAAATCACGCCCGGACATTGTTGGCACAAGTCAGAAGTAGAATATGGAGCGATCAGCCAGGTGTCGTATACCCAATGCGATTTGGGAGATTCGGACAATGGTCCGAGTCTCCAGATGGCCATTGTGGAAGGTCCATTATATTGATCGAGACAATATTGCCCAATAGCACAGAGTGGAGGGTCCACGAAAGCAGAAAAAAGGAAGCGAGCAGTGGACTTGCATTAGACCAGAGGTCTGACGGCATGCTAGGGCTGGGCTGCCGCTGTCAGAGAGACCGGTGCCAAAGTGAAAAGGGTAGTTTGGTGCCAAAGATGTGGAATCGGTGGGCAGGGCAAGACCCCTGGTTGGGGCGAGAGGAGCGACGTGGAGCTTGGTGTCTTAGCTTAACACACAGCACAGGGCTGGTTGTGGAAGCACAGAGCCATGGCCATCATGGATCACCCGGAAGCAGATCAGCCTCCTCGACCAATCTGTAGCAACTAAGGCTGGAAGAGGAGAAAGTCGATTATGATAGCGTTCAGGACAATCGCCAATGCCCTCCACCAATAAATACCAATAATTCCAATAAAGCGGAACATGGGTCTTGGGTTGCGTATTTTGTCTGTGGGTGACATGCGCCTAAGCTGCTAGCGAGTCTACTACGTCGTGGTTGCTCTCCACAGTCGTAAGTCATGCGCGTGTGATTGGGGTCCCACCAGCGACTTTGGCCCCGTCGGTGCCCGCTGTCTTGGTCATCGATCTCAATTCCGGTTTGCTGGCAGCCGCGACAAGCTAAGCAATGGGCCTCGGACTACTAGTACTCGAACCCTGTTCGTGTGACCTCGACATCACTGCTGGCAGTAGACCGGCAAAGGATCGGAGGTCTGGATTTGAATGTCGACAGTATCACAGTGCGTGGCTTCGCGGCGTAAGATACTCCAGTCTCCAGCGCATACGACTGTGGCTGCGCACCGTTTCTGCACACTTCTGCCAAGGCTGCTCAGGCTGCTCAGGCTGCTCCGTGATCGCCAGGGTTCTGCGTGCCCTGTGGAGAAATTGATGATTCTATTGGGGCTTCGCACGCCCACTATCTAGGATTTTTAACCCGATTTTGGTTGCAAATTTCACCCCCTGCGTAAAGGGTACATGAGCCAGTGTGCGCCGCCGAGGCTGCCCGCTGCAATCTATGGATCCAGACCAAAGTAAAAATAAATGAGGCTGGTGAATGAATGAGCATCATTTTGTTCTAGAAAATCTGCACACCATATCCAGCTCGCCCGCAGAGATCCAACAAAAAGGAGCAATTACGAGCAGCGGTACTACGTACTCTGCCGGTAGCAGGATATCTTCCTATCGCGGCACTCTGATCCGGACTCTGGTCCAGACAAGGACAGAACCGCTGCTGCTGCAGCTGCCGCTGCCGCTGCCACTGCTACAGCCCTCGGAGAATCAAAGAAAGCCACCCGGTACCAACAAACCAAAGTACACAAATGACATTCTGACATACTGACATACTGTTGGGTGGATAGACCAGCATCGATATACTACGTAGTAGTTTTATTAGGAAGAGCACCCATGATAGTAGTCCGGAAGAGTGCAGCGACTCAATCACAGGGAACACGCCAAGCAATCAATAAACCACAGTAGTCAGAACTACTACCCACTACTACTAGGTACTACTAGTATTAGTAGCCACGTACCATGTAGAAGGCACCAGATCCAGAATATGCCGGCTCCCTATCTAGGAGCAAATTCCCCGACAACGATCCGGCCGATTCTAGCGAGCAGCAAAGTTGGACACGGGTAATCAAGGGCAGCAGGAGCAATAAGCAGGATCGGTGCTCCAAATGAAATTACTCATCAAATAACCTCGCAGGTGTTGGCCCCTCCCGACCGTGCTATTTGACATCTGGTGGGCCAGCTTGGTCCCAGCTCACCAATCACCACGCGTCTTCCGCGGGGCAAGAGGATGAAGAACTACTCTCCCGCCATGTACTACGGTAAGAAATCTCGGCGGGGTCCAACCGCCTTCAGCTTCAATAAGATCCTCTTAGGCCCAATCAGTGGCGGGCGGATTGCCTTCCGGAAGACCGAATGACAACACAAGCGGCCGGCTGGAAGGACTAAACACTAATACTCCACAAAGGGGCGTATATCCCGACTCTTAGCTACAACTCAATCTCCAAAGTCCATGTCACCCTCCACTTGTGCGTTTCAGAGCATGATCCTGATTCCAGATTGCCATGCGGAAGCATATGTCACAGCTACACGGAGCTGAGCGGCTCAGTGAAGACACCTGATGGAAGCCCGAGAGGGTGGTACAAGGTCTGCTGGCCTTTATATAACTTCTTACCCACCCCTACATCGCCGAAGTGCCAGCCTAAGAGCCTAAGAGCCTAAAAGGGATATGTGTCGTGCTGAAGCAAAGACGAACGGGCACTGGCGCAACCACCACACCGGTAGAATGAGGCGAAGCTAGTTATTGGAGCACCTAGCCAGATGCAGACCTCCAGAACAGAATCGCGGGGCCCCTGGTTAGCCTGTCGACCGGTGGCTTACGTAGTAGTAGTAGTAGTAGTAGTACTGCAGCAATGCACGTTGTCATCTAATCTCTCATCACCTGCCGAGCATGGGACAGAGTTATACAGTCAGGGAAACGCCATTTCGAAACACGGCAGTGAGATAGAGTAGTTTGATCAGATCTGCTGCAAGCACTAACCACGGCTTCTTTGCTAGTTTTGGCCACCAACAAACTAGTGACCGATATAATGCACGTTTCGTCAGAAGGCCAGGCCGAAGCTGCATTGTGATTGGTAATAATGCGAAGCTGAAGCACGACCATGAGCCAGTCACCTTGCAGCTGAGAAAGAATCTGTCTTGTCCATACACCGGAGGAACGTTTGTTGACAAACTGGCATGGCAAAGGAATGCAAATAGTTAGCCATGAAAGATGTGATGATATCATTGATAGGAGAACGAGTGCCTTGGATCAGCTGGATTTGCAGTTGGAAGACCTTTACGGGTTTTGTTCTCCGTTCTCCCGGAATCAGAACGAGCAGCAGGAGCTTGCCCATGCTGTATGGGAATCCATGCAACCAGTCAACCATGCAGGATGGTGGAGCCAAGTGTTAAACCAAATAATTGATTAACAAACACGCTGCTGCAGTTGTGCCCATGGTCATGGGAACACCGCCGCACGCAGAAGCTCAGGGATTGAAGACCAGGGATAATTCGGAGAATTGATCCACGCAGCCTCGTATCAAAGGAGACTTTCGGTGCTCCCGCCAGATCAGCATATGTACGGTAGTCCACTATGTGATGAGAGTCGGCAAGAAGCCAATCTGGTCTACTTCTATGCCTTGGTTGGTAGGTGAATAATATATTCGTGTGTGACCATATCTCGTGATCGACCTCGCGATCTGACCGAAATATCTAGTCAGTGATCGTGCGCGCAGAACCTCTTCTTTGGTACGGAGTACGGTCTCTAGTTTCGAGACTAAGTTAGTTCTCAATAGCAGGGCTTCAAGCCCTAGTTTTCTCCAGAACAATCGATCCGGTCTGGATTATTAGCAAGTCTCGGGCCAACGAACCGCAGACACGGGAAGATGTGTTGTTCTTGCAGCAGACATGAAACGCTTATGCTCGTGTAGTCTCACCATGATGGATGTCTCGACATGACACCCTTCGGAGAAACAGGGCCTGCACCGACCCGCAGTAACATCTTGTCCGTTGCATTAGCATCACAAGCCTGTTGAAGAAATGTAAACAATGTTGCCTAGTCCTGCAATCTTCTCGAAGAATTTTCATAACAAAAGCTATGTCATGATGCAAAAACGGCAGCGGAAATTGCTGTCACATTATCGCCTCCAAGAAAACTCACCAAATTATGCAAACTCAACCCTTTGAAAGTTCAGGTGTCAGTTGGGATGCAGTGCCTGTACTGCATGAAAAATGTGATGAAGCTCTTGGTATGGGCAGCGGCAAGACCTAGGTCTCATAAAATATTGCTCTAGCAACCGCACCCACAAGCAAGCTACTTCGTGGGCGAATGTTGTTCGAACCCACCTTTAATCCCCTGGCTGCGCTCTCTTTTGCAAGAGAATCAGGTCCTCACTCCGCCGCAGGCGTTTCGAACTATGCCTGGAAAGACGGAGAGAAAGACGGAGAGAGAAACGGGAAGTCTTGGTGACATTCAGCTTGTTCTGCCGCACCCTCTATATTCGTTCTCTTGCCCCTCGCTACTGGAGTCTACCAACAGTATGGATTGACAACAAGCTATCACCGGCCAATAAGCAGCTCCTCCATCTCGACTGCTCTTTTTTGTTTCAATAGTAAACATTGTGCAGATATGCTTTCCTGGTATAATTCATAGCAACGAGTCCAGCTATATTTCATATTGCATCTTTCATTCGTGTTCATTGAGCTTCCTCCTGACACTTCTCTGAATCCTGATATTAGATCTATCGCTTGTATTCAACGTGTCTTCTCGAACCCGCTGTTGTGCGACTGGCTGCTGTCTCGACTTCGCGGCAACCATTGGATAGGCGTATATTGTGACAGTCGTCTCCATTTCTCTATTTTGTTGTTTCTGATAGGGCGCTTCATCTCGCTCACCCGCGTGGGAATCTCGCATATGTCCCTCCTGTTGGTTAGCAGCTGCTGTTATGGCTAAGACCTTACATCTTTCGGCATCTCTCTCAGGCTCTCGCTCCTTCGGCTCTAGTACTTCTATTCCTTCTCGAAGACTGTAGTCATCATGATGGTCTGACGTTTCGGCTTCCCTCCTTGTACTGCCAAGTGGGATAAATGCATCATAATCTCTCCTGTATGACTGTTTGATGGTCATTCCAACACCATGGTCATCCTCATCATCTCTCAGCTTAGATTTCCTCATAAAGCATGTCTTTATCTTCGTCGTCGCTATGCCTCCGATGTCTATGGCTCTGGGAATATCTTGGGATTGCAACATTCCCATCCACTAAACTGCCTCTCGCGCTTCTCATGCTCCGAGGAATTAGAACATCCCCGTCGTCATAGCTTCCCCGCATCCTCCTTGAGCTCCCCACAAGCGCACTGGACATGTTCATTGATGCGAAGAGTGTGGGAAAGTTTGCTCGGGCGTCGGGTGGCCCAGTAGGAGTATCCTGGAAGCGCATGATATCTCTGTCGAGCGGATTGGGATCTGATGGGAACGCTGTAGTCCTGATCCTCATCGTCGCGGGTATAGTATCTGCGGCTTCGATGGATGGAGGAGCTCTTAGAGACAGCCATTGGTTATGAAACTAGCAAGCCTGAGGTGTTGCGAGGAATGCCCATGTAACGCCGATGATAATTTCATGTCTCAATGGAAGCCAGCCAGGAAATTGAGCAAGTATACTTTCCAACGGTGGTGCCGAATTAATAGGGTGAGGGAACGCAGTAAACATCAAGGGAAGGGAATTGGAAATGCCACCTTGCTGATTCGATCTATGGTGGCGCCGCTTGAAGCTGTATGTTCTAATGTTAACGAAAAGCCTTTCTCATTAAGCGTAAAACTTGTGGCAGTGCTTGTGCTTGTTGGCGAACATGAGGGCGGAGTTGGTAGCTGTTCCAGCCATCGATTATGTACTTACCTGGAGAAGGGCTTCCAAAATAACGCTGTACCGGTCCTTAACAAATTAACAGATCGTTGGTCATTCAAGGATCGACAAATGACCATCGGATAGCCATAAATTGGCCGTTATATGACAACTGTTTTGTAAAAAGACGTTCAAAATGACAAGATTCTATCACATCTAAAATGTCTGTAACCACATAATTTTACACGAGCTGCATCATAGTACAGTCAAGCTTAAACTAAGCACACATTGATGGTAAATTAGGCATAACTTCAGAAAGGCTTTTCCTAGTAAGTACTGTACATCGCAAAAGTGTTGCGGATCACAGTTGATAGGGACTCGATAAATGGACTCATTAGATGTACTCCATATCGAAAAGATGCTGAGCTTCGTTTGATTCTTTTGATATAAGGTTTAAAATATATAAGATTCCTGTGAGGAAAGTAGAATTTACTATGTTAAAGAGTTGTCAGAGGCTGTGAGCGCCTAATGGCCAGATTTGCTGCGTTTCTACTGCGTAATCTATGCGTTTCGATTGGTCAATTTCTCCGGCAATCTCGCTTCTAATTTCCCTGTACGAAGTCGTGCCCCCAAAGTTGTTAAACTACGCTAGAGACTCAACCTACTCAGAAACTAGCTTCATCTGGCTCATGATGACCACTAATATCGCAGGCCTATCGTAACTAGGATGATGCCTAAGCTCCACTAGATCTCTGGGTAAGGCTAGGGGTCAACCTTAAGGTACTTAATGTCACCTAGGGACACCTAGTATCTGTAGTCATTGTCTAAATTACTTATAAGCTTCTGTTTGGATTTCTAGACGTAATCTGCACTGCGTTTGCTAGCGCTCACCTCATTTTTAGCGTAGTTTAACAACTTTTGGGCACGACTCCGTACCGTACAGCTAATTTGTACGTATATCTATGCACGCAGCCCCTTATTTAGATAGAACAACTCGCTTTCTACGGACTGCCTGCAGATTGTTACATACGAGTCAACTCTATCAATTAGAATCTAAATTATTTTCTTCATCTACATCAAAAGAATCGGACTATTTTGGTATGGAGTTTATTTAATCTCAATACGTAGGAGGCTTGCGAGGGCTGTTTCTGTTTGAGAGTAGTGCAGAAGATCTCTCCTACCACAAGATGGCTGCAGAAGTCCTAAAACAATAAATAAGAATACTTATGCAACTGTCGCTTGACTAATAAGCTGGCATCAGCTCCACCGCCCGTTGACAGAGCGCGATCAGACTCGATGGGCTTGGTTCTTCGCATGTGGTGCAAAGCTCTTTATTTGTCGTTATGACTCGGAAAGGAACCTGAACACATCAATCGCGCACATCAATTGACATTGTGGAAGTAAGTTGCGACAAGATGAGTGTGGCAAGATGTCTACATGATGTTGGATGTAATCAAGTCGTGTTTAGAGAGAAATGTACTTGCAAGCTTTTGGACACAAGATTACTAACTAGAGGCAAGTACTTGTGCATTCTAACAGACATAACCATCCAGGCTCACTTTGATCACCTTAACCAGGAAGACTAGTCCGAGCTGGGGAGCGGCTTGAAGGTGGCCATCGATTACTCATCCACAAATGGTCGTACAAGCACGATAGTGATGAGAATATTTCTGATGCACTGCCCCGATGCCATTTAAAGAACAAGCATCTCCTGGGCAGGGTACTGGACAAGTTGGGCGTGTGCAAAAGCTACCCACGTGACTTTGTGCGACGGCAGCACATTTCTGAGACTTCACGTTAACTTACTGCGAAGGGCGACGCTCAGAAGATGCGTGAGTTGACTAGCTGTACCAGTCGTTGTACTGGACGCTGAGATGGAGAGAGATTGTATGCTAAAGTCCAAATTTGCGGAAGTCTTTCACCAGCATGACATTGTCCTATGAATTCAAGACACGGATGACCACCGGCTTCCCTGGCTATCCCTCTGGACAGCCATGAGCGAGATCATGGAGGTCTTGGAAGACTTCGAGCTCGATGTCTATTGCAGCCATCCTCTTCTGCTGCCAATCTTGATGTACATGGTCGCTGGGTCTATGCTCCGGCGGCAGCTCAGAAACATCAACAAGAAGATCGACGATGTCCAGCACCAAACGGGGCTGCTTGACAACTTTCTCACCGTTTGAGAATCAATATCGAAGAGCCAGCCTTGCGGACTTGCAAATGCTCCCACTGAGAACCAGGCTAAAAGCGCCCAAAGAAACCCGCGCCAACATGCCGAAATTTTGCTGTCTCCGTTGCCATCGCCATCTCCGTCTCCTTCACCAAGGCCACCTGCCAGTCCTGTCACCGGACCTGCCCAAAAACACTTCTCACCAGCTTTCGGTCCCTAATCTCTCAGCAGAGCTGGGAGATCCAGATAGGAAATTCCCCAGTCCGCGGAAGAATCAAAGGAAGAAAAGCCCAGCTACGACCAAATCTACCAAGTCCTCGTCGAGCTGCACGCACGCCTCACCTCGGGCTTTTCCGATTTGGTAGAAGACCTTGGCAAGGGATGTCAAGCCGCACTTAGCAGGATCGAGGCTTCAGATATTGGCAAGAACATCCTGAACACTACAAATGCACACCAGGAACTACATTCATAGGTCTTGCAGTTGGAAATCGCGGCCAAGTCTGAGCTGCAGCATCGCAAGAGGATGCTAAGTCGTGTGGATACGCAGTTGAAAGTGGCAAGTGGGAGGGCGTCAAGGTCGGAAGAGACAAGATAGTTGTACAATCTGATGCAGCAAACATCGCAGACGAAACCTCGAAGAGACAGTCAGACGATGAAGCAGATCGCGGATGAGACTTGAGAGATTGCTCGTCTGTGAAGACCATCGCGTTGCTGACCATGATATTCTTGCCATCAGCGGCAATCGCTGTAAGTCTCCGCTATTGCGTTGACTTGTAAGGTACTAACATGGTTGCAAAGACGATTTTCAGCATGTCCTCATCCTTCGACAAAAGCCACCAGAACGAGCTACTGGTTTCGTCAGAATTCTGGATCTTCTGGTCGGTCGCCATACCCCTAACCGCAGTCGTGCTTGTGATATATGCTCTCTGGGCACAGAGAGCGGGAGTCAGAGCCTGGTTGGCTGAGAAGAGGCGGAAGAGATATCTGAAGCAACAGAAAAGACTCGGCAGCGACAAAAAGCCGATGGGAAAAGGGTCTCGACAAGGGTGAGAGGAGTGATGCGGTGTGCAAGGAGACAGTATTGACTCAAGAGGGAAGGAAGCAGCTATAAACCCTAAAACGTCCTAATGCATCCAATTTCGAACCCTGAATTATCCCTAATATGTTCGTGTCCTCACCAATTATTACTAGATCGGACAACAGCATGACAATGTCAGCGTCACGTAACATGTCGCCCCAAGGTCGTACAGTATATCCTCTTCGTAATGGAACCTGGTTTAATGTACAGTAGGGCTTCCTTTTAGCTAGATCAAGCATACAGGCTGAAACTTTAACTCGGAGTAGCCACCGACTGCGAATAGCTGCCCGATACCAGCTTCAAGATATCAATAACAGAGATCTATCCCACAGTGGCGCTCTGATAGAGTTGAAATGGGCAGCCCATCTATCAAGAAGTTGAGTAGAGACACAATCAAATAACTTCCTTACATAGATGTACAGCGCGTGTAATAAATGCTCAGAAACACCTTAGCAACATGCATCAAAGCATAGCTTCACACAGAACAGCTGATATATGTGCTAACCACGACCATATGATCCTGCTATTCGATTCCGTGCCGGCAGTACTCTCCCGTATCCTTTTCTCCTCACGCGAAAGAAACTGCACTCTCTGAAGATGATTGGGGTCGCGTCAGATAGCTTGCGTGCATCTGTTGCTGCCTCATTGGTGTTGGAAGACTAGACGCCAATCTTGACAGGAGATAATCGCGGACACGAAAATAGCAGCTGTATCTCTTCGTGACTGGTGGCATGATGTCTTCCATTTCGATAGATGCCAGCTGGTCGCTTCGGGTGCCAGCGCGGTACTAACGTCTTGTAGCAGATTGATGTAGACGCGACCCCTGTTTATGGTTCCGATTTTGAACATCAGTTCGTTTCTCCTGCCGAGATGATCTTGTCGTAATACCTTCATCGAAGGATAATTATAAATAGATGACACCACGTGATGGTAGGGGGGGCTCCTCGCCGCACTGATATAGTTGGTTGCAGAAAATGTGCTCCGTGGGTGTTGCCTTTTCAGGCATCTGGCTTCATTGGTCGATCAAGCAGAGCTTCTGGCGGCTGTAATGCTTCGTGCTTTACCACATTGCCGGGCAACACTCCCGCTGAGTCTGGCATGTTAAGGCCAGCCACGCCAGGGTTGGCGGTCGAGTGATGCTCATCCCTTCAGTCATGTTGTCTCTAGAGCTGCGCTGCCAGGCGAGAATACTGTGAACATCATGAGGTCGGACGAGGATAGGGCGGTACTACCCATGAGTTGCAGACAGGGTGAGCTTTGTATGCACTGCGCTTGGTATGCAATCAATTTTGTATGCAATGAGCATAGTATTCAATGAAGCAGAAATGTATTACCTTGACAACACACGAATTGAATGTTCTAGCTGGACGGGGGTCCACCCCGCCCTTTAACTTACTCGACGCCACTTTTAGCATCAGTCTCCCATGAGCGAGGGTGAAGAGGACGTGAGCCGGAGACCGTTTCCTCGTCGAAAGTGAGCAGGATAAATCCTGCATAACAGTCCGCTAACCCCCAAGCCCGGGTAGGCAACATCGGTAGTCTGACACGATCAGGGCGCGCTCCCCACCAAGCTGGAGCCCACAGTCTGCCGCTTCGGCCCTTCAGGCACCTCTTGCAGGTTGGTGAGAGTTCGGGCAGCGGCACGGGTGCAAGTATTAGTGTCAAAAGAATCTAGTCTCGAAGATTCACCCTCCAGCAGGCAAGGGAGCTAAACATAGCATGCAGAGGACTTTTTCGGACATTGAAAGAGCTTATACTGAGTAATTGGAGGCAGTTTGGGAAGCCTAGTCATTTACAACAGCCAAAATAGTTGGGCAAGACGCAGCCAATTTGGGAAGTTTCCATATCCGTAACCTTAGTATGACGCGAATTAACTGGTTACATTCTGAATCTTTAGGTTGGTCGTCATATTTACACCTACCAGTGTCCAATGACAGTGGTCCCTCAATTTAAAGCAGTTGCGTTCCGTGGAGTAAAAAATTGTTTCTATGCGTGTTATATATAATTACATCAAGTGTTCCGCACTTGAGCTACTTTCTGATAGCGTTCCCAACAGAGAATTACATCCCATGTAGTTCTAATAAATTTTATCCCAGATCCATTCCTTTACATTGCTGTCAACAAGAGAAGCTCGATAACCCTTCCCCCTTTGTTGTTTCTATTCTATGCAATATATACCCTTAGCCGATCCCCCAACCCTACAAGCCAACATCGAAACATGCTTTTAAGACGAAGAGGTGGTTTCATATTCATCATCTTTCCAAATGAAGAAGCCATGGGCCAAAATTTCAACAAGAAGTGAATGTCGGCGCGGTAGGCTGAATAGCATGTGGGTTGGTGAAGAAATTGTCTGGATCATAATTTCTCTTAACATCAACCAGCTGGCAGATATTTTTGCCGTAGTACGATTCCAACGGTTCGACGGAGATGGTGTCGTCCATATAACCAGTATAAGAAGCGGGCCTGATGGACGCTGTCAGTCCAATAGTACTTCTCATACAGAACGGGAGCATCCTTCATCTGGAGGAGAGAACATGCTCTATACTTACCCCACGACAGGCCTCAGATACCTTTCCAAATCCGCAAACCACTCCAAATACCTCTGCTGCGTTGCGGCATCACTGGAGCCGTGGGCCTGAAACTGCAAGTGAGCATATGCCTGCTCTCGCCATGCAAATGCGTTGTCTCCAGCTTCTGAGATATTCCAAGCGTGCCATTCGGCCCACAATTCCGCCTCGGTTTCCAACTGTCCGATGCGATCGACCACACCACGCAGCACGTCATCACTAAGAAGATTATCCTTTTGTACGAAGAAGGATTTGTTTATGCGGCGGAAACGAGGCCAAGGTGATGCGGTCGTGCGAGATGTTGAGAGGGGAATTTCATCGTAGATGAATTGTGGGGAGTTTTCGTATGGAGCAAAAGCCTCTGGGACAACATTTAGGATTGAAGAGTCGACCTTATCATCGGGAAGGCATTCGGTGGTGATGTAGCCAAAAATGCGGGAGTTATCCGTGTTGCAGTTCCCCGCTGTTTGGGATTGAGGGTGCCCGAGTTCGAGCAAGCCTGAATCGTTGACGAGCCGTTGGAGCTGCTGTTGGGTGCCGCCGAGGTACCAGCCTAAGACTTGCACTTTGCTCTTGTAGACATTGATCTGCGAGGTGAATTCCTTGGGCTGTCGCGGAGCCCAGTCCAAGAACCGTTTAGCAACGTCGAAGCGGGTATCGGTTTCGTTCCACTGAATTGCCACCATTGCGGAACGAGGTAGAGGTGTCAGTCTCAAGGTAAACTCGGTCAAAATGCCGTATGTGCCGCCACCACCGCCTCTGATGGCCCAGAAAAGGTCCTGGTTGGATGATGCAGACGCAGTTAACATCGTTCCATTAGCGAGTACTACTTGGGCGGAGAGAACATGGTCGCCGGAAATTCCGAGAGCGCGCATCTGCATATTGAAACCGCCTGCAGATAACAAGCCTGACAACCCAACCGTTGGACAGATACCTCCCACCCATGATGTATTGTATGCATTCAAGGCTGTATAAAGTGCGCCGAGACGAATTCCAGCACCAACTCTGGCCGTGCTGTGGTCGGGCGAGACGTCGACATAATTCAAGTGTGTGAGGTCAACAACGAGGGTGTTGTTGAGGGCGGAATAAGACAGGAAACTGGGATCGAGGTATCGACAATTAGCTTCACCACGTTGAGAAAATGAAAATTGGCTGCGAAATTGTAGGCTGCGGGGAAGGTTAGGTGGTGACAGAAGAAATGACAGAGACAGAAGAAATGAATTGGGGGGACCAACTGATGACCGCCATTCCGCGGAACAAGCTTGGTGCCGGTGCTCTGCGCACATCTGATCAAGGGTGCTACCTCCCTAGCATCTTTCACATATGCAATCAAGGCAGGAAACTGCTCGAATCTGAAAAGCCCGCATCAATCTTTCTTGCTCGAAATGTTCTTGACGCTGACCAAACCTACTGGATCTTTTCCCCCATCCTAGCATCAGTATAAGTGTCATCCTGTGGTGTAACTATCCGTTCCGCAGCATCAGCCCCTGTCAGCGCCTGCAGCGTGCATGCTTCTAGGGTTTGACGGATGCCAATGGAGGCTGAGGTAATGCTGCGGGGGAGCAGGGAAAGGAGGAGAAGTGAAAGATACTTCATTTCTCCCAGGATTTAAGGAAGCGGTAGAGGCAGATATTGATCTTCTAACAATTCGCAGATATCAGAACAGATCCACAGCGTACTGAGTATAACTTATACCCTACTCCAGTCACATAGCCCGGTCAACGACCAACATCCTGCCTATTTTGATAAACACACCATCCATCTATCTGGACCCCAACTCAGTCCCAAACCAACAAATGAAAATGACCCGGCGGAGTTCTTTCAATGAGGCGTGCCCGGCGGAGGGTTTTTTGTTCTTCTCTTCAGATTGCTCTTCCCGCTTCCCGCTTCGGTACTGCAACGCACACGTGAACATGGTTGCCAGATAACGAAGATATTCACGCATGCACATACCTGCCCAGATACATGGTTACAGCGACGTAACCCAGGTACACGGATCGCTGCAATGTAGGCTCTTGCATTCCCAGATACCGTTGGTTGGTACCCACCCATTAGTAATCGAACCACTTTGGACGCGGAGAGTTCTTCCTTGTCCAAGACAGCACCCCAAACAGGGCCCCGCGGATTGCCTCAACGCATGCTTGCTTGTTCCTGCGTTTTTCTCACGTGGCTGTTTAAACAATTCACAATTTGTGCGGAAAGCTTTAGTCATTGTGGTAAATGTGATTACATATTCGCCTCGAGTACCCTTAGAAATGGAAGGGTGGGACAACCAGGGCGTGTAACCTAGGCATTGGGAGTTGGGCTATTAGAGCATCATTCGAAATGTCGCTATTGCTTTATCCGTTCGATGTTTTATTTCACCCGCAGAATACTCATTGAAAAGTGGCTAGGATAGATTGATCTTCCAGCTAGATAGGTTACCTCTTAAAGAGGAAGATAATACCAAGATATGGTACAAAACTATCGAACATCTATTCCGTAGCAAACTAATATGAAACCTTTATCAATGTGTGATTGCTAGTGACGTCCTCTATGCTGTTCGCTTTTTGATCGTCACCGAGACGTCTTCTTTCAACCAGGGGCTGCCAATCTTGGAAAAATCCAGATTAGTCGTCTCCTGTTCCCTCTTGGGTCCCCATGTAATATCATAGTCTTGTGCCAAAATTCCCACGACCGTTGCAGCAATGATTCCCGCCAATTGCTCTCCTGGAAACCGATGCACCCCGGCTCCAAATGGCATATAACCCATTCGCCCCATAGAATTGACACGCTTTGCCAATTCTGGCTCTTCTAGCCAGCGCTCGGGCTGCCATTGATCAGGGTTAGGATAAATTTCAGGGGCATGGTGAGTGAGATAAGGAGATATAGATACAACGGAGGCGTGAGGGATGGTGATATCTGTAGTAGGGACGTCAATGGTTTGACGTGCAAGACGAAGCATGCTGATGCCGGAGTAGCAACGACCGGTCTCCTTCAGGAACGCCTGGAGATGTGGGGAAGCTTGAGGGTCAGAGTCCTGGAGCAGATCCTGGCGGAGAGAATTGAATCGGGTGGGAGATTTGATGAGCTTAGGTCGTAAATTAGCCACATAGGTCTAAAACGTCTAGATACTCCAATTGGTGATAAAATTGCAGCTTATCTCGAGGATCGTCCAAGATATGCTTGCCACCGTACTAGTATGGGCGGCAAACATGAGCAGCGTGTGGTGAGCAGCGTGTGGTGAGCAGCGTGTGGTGAGCAGCGTGTGGTGAGCAGCGTGTGGTGAGCAGCGTGTGGTGAGCAGTGGTGACGTGTGGTGAGCAGCGTGTGGTGAGCAGCGTAGAAGTCTTTGAGATGTGCTGTAGCGTGGTCGTTAAGCGTGTATGAAATGTAGTCATTGGCATCAGCCCAGTCCTCGGGGTGCTTCTCTCTTGCCTTGAGCCGCTCGCTGAATATTGCTCCCACCCGATCTTTTTCTCCTTCTAACGTAGAGCCGCCGGATGAGGCACCCAGTCAGGAAGGATGAAGTTCAACATGTTGCCAATATCAGCTTCCATGCCGTGAAGCAGGCCGTACAATTCATTGCCATTTTCGGCGTAGAAGTCAGGCCCCATCAGACATTGTACGACAATAGCATGAACGAGTACTGAGGCATGTTCGAAGAGATCGATCTCTGACTTCTCGGCCCATTTTAGGAAACATGATACAGATGTTTCTCGAACAATATTGGAGTAGTGAGTAAGCGCCACTCTGCGGTTGATTCCTCGGCTCAAAGATGCCACAAAAGTTTTGAGATTGTCAAAGTAACCCAGGCTGACAACCTTATTAAGGAAGAAGACCCTAGCGTGCGATCAGCCAGACACAAGCTGCGTGCAGTTGAACTGGGATTTACCATGCCATCCCCAAAAGACCATGTGTCCTAAAGTGAATATCAAGTTAGCAGGTTCTCTGTGGGTTCAGTCAAGGTGCAGTTTACCTCTTTCGTCTCCAAGTAGACTCTGCTTAGTCTGGTATCTCGTAGCCAGATAGTACGGGTCAGGATCATGTTGACCATAAAAATCTCGCCATACTGTGCCTTTGCCTTGCGCAAGTATGAAACTGGGTCCGAAGCTTGGCGCCAAAATTTACGGGAGTTCTCAGATCCCCTTCCTCTACCCCCCTTCTTCATTCCCCTATTTCTCTACCAATACTCACTCAGATTTAGGGAATAATGAGTTCTAAACAGGGAAATAGACGGCGCATCTGCCGAAAGCCTACTTCTATAGATCCTCCTTCTCCTGCGGCCTCACGAACGCCAAAAACGATGCTCGATACGCCGCGCCGTGCGCGCCTTCTTGCTGATGCACGCCACACAGCTGGCAAATTACCTCGTACGCAGCTATTTAAGATACATAATATATCTGAAACAACTGGCTATCGAATCATCCAAGAAGGAACTGCGCGCCGCAGCGAGAAAGTCCACAATCGATGCCGAAAACGAGTACTTGCTCCGTACGAGTGTGAAGCAATTGAGGCAGTAGAAGATGCTAATTTTGGCTTTGCTTCGTCAAGTCATTATAGGGTGGCACAGAAAATTGGCCTAGCTAATGGCTCTGAACGTGCTATTCAAAGAAATATGAAGGATTTTGGCGTAGGGACCTATATGGCCGCGCAGAAAAAGATGCTCTCTCAAGGGCATATTGAGGCTCGAATTATATGGGGATTTGAGCGCCGATATTGGCAATTGGATCAATTCAAGCAATATAGATGGTGTGATGAGTGCCATTTTGCTACTGCCCTGCAACGACAGGCTCGAATTCATCGTCGACCAGGGCTTGAAGCACGAAATGCCCTATCAAAGACCCAATTCAAGCTCAAGCGCCAAAATCAGTCAGTCCATGTGTACGCAGTTATTGGATGGAATTTCAAGGGTCAGCTCCACTTCTACACAGGCTCCGGAGTAGGAGGGCGTCTTATTCAGGACGATTATATGGCTATTTTGAAAGAAATCGTTGCTCCTGATTGGGATAAAGATTCCATATTAATTGAAGATAATGACGGGCCTCATGGTACCAAGGGCAAGGGTCCTAACAAGGTTAAAGCACTCAAGGACCTTCTAGGGATCAAATGGGAGATGAACCCTGCTAATTCGCCTGATCTCAACCCCATTGAGACGATCTGATAATAAAGCAGCGCTTGAAGTCCAGGGGGGTCATCTTCGAAGAAGCTGTTCTGCGCAGGGCTATCCAGGAGGAGTGGGATAAAATAACTCTGGATGAGATTAATAGGGCTATCTCAACAATGCCAGATAGAGTAGCTGCCCTAAATGAGCGAAATGGGCGTCCTATCCCCTATTAAAGGGGCGTGTAGCATAGCAGGAATCTGAGAACTCCCGTAAATTTTGGCGCCAAGCTTCGGTCCCTTGTGTAGCTGACAATGTTCCCGCAATGGGCCAGCCATACTTCACGGAAGGAGCCTTCTCAGACCTCTTGGTAAATGAACCAGCGACCGCTACGGCGAGAGAAGCGAGTAGAATATGGAGAGCAAGTCGAAGCGAAGTTGATTGTATAAACAGCGGGCCCCGCAACAGCGCCAAGGGATTAGTGGTGATCAAAGTGTCCATTATAAAGTTTAAGGTCGCTTCTCTTCCATACTCACGATAGATTGTCCAAGAAGCTTTGGAAAGGTCAATTGGATTCAATCGCCATAGATATCGGCTTGAACGTGTTCTTCTGGAGGCTACCGTTTACCCGGTAAAGGCTTCTATCCCTGGATCAGCTCTGCCGCGGAGTGCCATACCGAAAATATGCTCCGCCTACATACGGGCCTTTCATTTTCTATTCCAACAGAACATTTTGCGTTAGACCCCCTTCAATCAACTGTGGAATTAGCTCGAGGTCTTTTGATCTCAAATAGAACCTGCCGGAATGAGCCGTAGAGAGTGTGGAGCATCTCATCATCCACGCGAACCTTTGCATTTGATCTTTTCCACTCCTTATCACTCTTCAACTCCTTTTGTCTGCATTCAGATTTACCCTATCTACAAGCTGCCATGAACGAACAGAATGCCTCACTCTCTGGCAGTATCAGCACGGAGGAAGGCATGAAAGAGGCGGAGATAGAAAACAATCCTGCACCAGATGGCGGCCTTCGACCTTGGCTTGTGGTACTCGGTGGCTTTCTTGCATACTTTGCAACCTTTGGAACTGGTTTTCCACAATCTTTTTCAAGACGGTACTGAATAAATAACCACTGTGCTCAGGTTTGCTTAATTCCTTTGGGATATTCCAACTCTATTATCAAAGCGAGATTCTCCTAGGGACCTCTGCAAGCGTTATCTCATGGATCGGTTCCATTCAGGTACGTTGACCTTTTACACATATATTACACGGCATATGGAGACTCATGCTAATCTTTAAGCTCTTCCTCCTTTTCGGCGGTGCTTTGGTCAGTAATTTCTCAGGTGGTATTGGGGCCATCATCAATTTCTCCGGCATTATTCACTTGTTCGGGGCTTTCCTTGTACTGTGCGCACGGCTAACAGTCGATCGAAAGGTTCTTAAAGTCTGCTAAAACTCCTTACGTACAGGGGAGTACGCCACCGGATCGAGTTTTCACCAGATTTAGCTTATATAGAAGTAATGTAATACATACAGTCTCTACCTTTCAACACATCCATAGCTAGAAAAATATAATTCTAACTTAGATCAGAATGTACGTAACACGCAAGATCTAACAGATCTGGCCAATGACATTTATGAATCATGGAGATTAATGACTTCATTCGTGTGCATTAGCACCAGCGGGAGCAGAGATTCTTCATCAAACCAAAGTTGGGCCGAATTGCGTACGACCAGGTCTTTGTACTGTATAGCGCTATCATAAGGTGAACCTTTAGCCAAAACATTAGAAGAGCTCATCCTACTAGGGACTAATTTCGTGTAAAAGTTGATCTTGTTAAAAGTAACGCTAAAACTGCTTCTGCTATCTATGGATGTCTGCACTCAATCAAAATGATTGATTTGGTAACTTGTGCAGAAGTTGTATCCAACTCCTGTCCAAAGTTCAAGTGCAATCTTACTCTGGTGGCTGATGGCGCTATGCCTGTTCCGGCATAGCCCTAGGTCATGTGACGACTACTGAGCTAGCGGCTTGGCAGCAATTCAACAGATCTCTATTTCTTGGTCTTGCCCTAGCTAAAATTCAAACATGGCAAGAAATTCCTGCAAACCCTGGCCTTAGCGTATCTTATGCAATCATTGCCAGGACGCCTCTCAAAATGCCCGTCAGCTCACCCACATGCGCCTTATCAAACGCGCTGTCATGCTGCGCCTTGAACTGTACGGTTCGAAAATGCTTGAATTTCGCTGACTGCCAACCCATCCGCTCGTCGCGGAAACTCTTCTGCACAAACTCCTTCCTGACATCCCGTAGTGTGGCTACCGGCCTTGATAGCGACGAGCACTTGACGAGAGTAGTAGGTGCGTGACAGCGTTGGGGAAGGAAGTGGTTGCGAGCTACGGTGCCCACCATGTTGACGCCATTGTAGATGTGTTTTCGAATCCGTGGGAGCATTGTCGCAAGACTGAAATCATCCTCATCGTTGTCATCATCCGGAGATTCGGAGCTGGAGCTACTATCATCGCCCTCCACCAGGCTAGGTGCATTCATTTTGCTTACAACCTTGTTATACGTCAAGGTTGTGATTTTTTCGTGCTCGGCACGGTTGATAAAGGCAGGATAGTTCTCCGGGTTCGCGGAGTCAATCATAATGACATGAAGAACTGTTTCGCCGCGCTCTTCTAATATCGAGGCCATCTTGAGGGCGATCATACCACCCAAGGACCAGCCTCCCAGGAGATACGGGCCTTCGGGCTGCACTTCCCTCTGAATGAGGGAAATGTACTGGCGGGCAGCATCCTCCAGAGAGGAAGGTAATCGATAGTCTCCACTGGCGTAAATCGGAGAGCTGACACCGTAGACGGCTCGACCTTCATTTCCACCAACGTCGTCTTTCGTGAGCGAACCAAGGCCGAGGTACGGGAGGGCAAGGCCAGATACGGCGTGAATGAGGAAAAGTGGCGTAAAGGGTGAGGTTTCACTACCTTGAATATGCAGCAGGGTCTCCATTGAAGGTTATGTGAAAGTATTGGAATGTAGTTAAGCCGGTTGTCCACTTCGCCAAAACTTGCAGAGAGTGGTTGTGTGCAACTGGGTTGCGACGTTGGTTATTCGACCCTTTACACGCACTTCCCTTCATATTGTACTGTAGGTGCTTTACACACTCTATTCATAATTGAGCGAAGACTGAAGCCTGGATGCAACGATATCATCGTGCGTCGACGGAGAAAGCCCCGAAATCAACAACACGGCGTCCTCCAAGACAGCATCCCAGTCGTGAATGCGCTCCGTTCGGAAGCGGCTGTAAGTAGAGCCTGGAAAGCTTCAGTGTTCGCGGGCACCAAATCATAGAAACGAGTTCGCAAGATAGCGATCTTGTATAGGATGCTTGACGAAATGTCCGGTTGGGTCCGCCTTCCGTACTTTGACGGATACTTGTTTTCTGGCAGTAAGTAAACACCAACAACCAACTTCGTATATCAAAATAGCGACATGAATCCGAAAGATAGGATCATCAATACCAAGCTAGATGATGATGGTGGCGATGATATATGAGATATATGATGGATAACAATGTGTAGAACTCATCCAAGGAACTTCCTCGAGAAGAGAGCAGAGAAGCAAACTTACAGTAACAATCCCAGTCGGCCCACAATGCATATGTCTCTTAGAAATACCCTGTTAGCTTCGTCTTCCTTAAGCAGCTTTGCATTCGTCTCCGGAAGCCCTGCACGACAACGCGCGGCAGAAGCTGTCAGCTACGATCTTCCTTTGACATGGAGTTCTTTCGGCTTTCTCTCCTCCCATATGTCGCTTGGCACCCCACCACAACAAATCACCACTTTCGTCGACTGGACATGGATCAGTCAGTACGTATTCACGACAACTTGTCATGGCGTCGCGGACAAGCCCTTCGACTGTTTCGCAAAGGAGCAGTCAATCTTCAACCAGTCGCAATCGTCTACCTTCTTAGACGAGTCCTATTTGTATCCTAGTCGGACATGGAACCCCAATCACTTCTTCTTCTATGAAGATCTTACTGTCGACTACGCTTCTGACATAGGGGTTGTTGGGCCAAGCTCAGCGCGTCTTACAATACAGACGGCGGATTTTCAGTTCGATATAAGTGACGCGCCTTACCCACTCACTGGAGTCTATGGCCTGTCTCCAGTCTTCAAGGCAGACAACAGTACGTTATGCTCACTTCCGGTGTGCTGTTCCAGTAAGGTACTTATCTCTGTCTTCTGTTTAGGGTCTATGCAATCGCCGTTCTACCAAGCGTGGTCCGCCGGTGCTTGGCCGGAACCATTTGTGGCCTTCCACTACTGCTACAATGGATCTGTGGACACCACAAAATCGACGTGCGGCGGCTACGATGGCCTGCAGACCCTCGGCGGCTTCAACATGAGCTTGATCGATGGCGAAATGTCTTGGTACGATATTGTGTTCTTCACCGACGTCAACGAGATCGACTTCGAGTACAGCCCGCCCATTTATAATTACTGGACCCTTCAGCTCACGGAGCTGAGTCTAGGCGACAAGGTGCAGGCGCTCAACAAATCTAGAGGAGCGGGTGCCATCTTCGACCATGCAAGCTACGGTCGTGGAGCTCCATTGTCTGTCAATGCGTACGAGGAACTCATCTCGATCAGTGGAGCTACACCTATTGCCCTCGATTCACCCCCAAACAACGGCAACCAATCCTTCTATGAGGTTGATTGTGACAGAGTGGAAGCACTTCCCCCAATCAAGTATCGATTTGGGGGATCGGAAAGGCCATGGGAGATTGTACCGTCAAACTATGTCGAAACCATCAACGATACTTGCGTTCTCAACGTGCGAACATTGGGGGATGGGGATATGATTGCTGGAAATTTCGGCGAGACCTTCGCAAAGGACAAATACATTGTGTTTGATTTTGAGAAGCTCAAGGTTGGACTAGCTGATGTGAGGTGGTGATCGGGGCTTGGGAAGCAAAAAGGGACAGAGACAGGATCGTTATTTGTACTTGTTCTACCCCGTAAATATCGCGAAAATTAGTCAAATGATTTAGTAAATCCTGCACCTCCGAACCGAATAACACGCAACTGAGCGGAGGCTCAAATTAAAGAATCTGTGCTTAAAATTATGCCCAGAAATTCAAGGGCATTTAACTATACAGAGTACTAAGAAATACTTTGGGTGACCGACCTGTTTCGGTCTAATTTGTAATAGCTGGAGGCCACCCAGAACTGCAACCCTGTCTGCCCCTGGAGGGACTGGAGTACCTCCGGACCCTGGAGGTCCTCCGGTTCTCGGGTTATCTACAGTACATCATGATCCCAGTTGAAGTTGTCGCTGTTCCACCCCACATCATGCATTCTGTAGATTAGAATGAGTCTTTTGATCATTCTGCACGAGGATATATCAGAACTCAACAACGTTTTAGCTTGATGCTAACTATTCATGGCTCAAAATTTTTGATGTGTTTCATGCCAGAATGAGGGATCCTACTACCGCCCTCTGGGCTAGGACCCGTAGGTATCATGATCACCACCATTTTCCAAGGACCGAACTCATCGTGAGGACGTTAAAACGGATGATAACTGGGTGTGGAGTAAGAAAGGACCGAGCATCTACTTGTCTGAATCATATCAAATTTACTTTGTTGCTTTTGAGAAAGGAGAAAGCAAGCAGATAAGTGAACTTTCATGATTCAGTGATCAACTCCATGGGCATGCCCGGGTCAGGAAGAAACAGCCATTGTTGTCCAGGTGCTTTGCCTGGCCAGGTGGAAAAAACAAAGACCTGCCGCGGAAGCAGGTCATGTTCTACCAGTCAATGAATTTCGAATCTGGCAGTGATCCTGCCGCTCTTTAGTCCGCAAAGAAAATCTCCGTTATCCATCGGTAATTTATAGTCATAAGCGAGCCATCCCAGCATTCACATTCATATAAGAGCCTGGTCACCATGGAAAAGCTGGGCAAATCCGTCGAGTATTCTCTATCTGTCTACCACTTCTAATCTTTCACTAAACATTACAAGGTTGATATCTCGATGCCGCCATGAATCCGGCTCCACACCCCCAGGTCCTTATAATTGGAGGCGGCATTGGAGGATTGACACTTGCTGTTCTTTGCAGAAAGTTGAACATTTCATACCTTGTCCTCGAGCGTTCTAAAAAGTTCTCACCTGTCGGAGCCGGCATCTCTCTTGCGCCCAATGCATTGCGAGTCTTGGACCAATTAGGGCTATACGAGGATATCGTCCGCCATGGGCAAAGCCTCGACAAGATACTCATTCATCGGAACAAGACCAAGTGGCGAACCTTAGACTTCACATGTGTCAAATCGTCATTTGGATACCCGGTTTACTCAATTGAGAGACACTATTTTCACCACCTACTATATCAAGCCGCTGATGGAGACAAAACCGTCCTTCTGGATTCCACAGTGGTGGATATTATCGACGACCCCACAGCACCTCATGTTATTGTCAAGTATGGAAACGGCTGCCAGACCAATGCGGACGTGGTCGTTGGTGCAGATGGCATTAGATCTGTCACTCGAAGGATCTTGGCCCGTCAAGCTGGACTGGACGCTAAGAACACCATCCGTTTCACGGGCAGAGTGCACATGTCGGGATATACGGCTCCAATGGAGAACTTGGGAGCCAAAGACCTTGGAGTGGGAAATTGGTTGTTCTACGATGATGCCATATTGACCACATGGCCTTGTGTGGACAATAGGCAATGGTTTATCGGCGTGAAGGTTTGTTTCCCGTGTCTACGAACGAGGAGAGTGGACTCTAACTGGGAGACTCTAGAAAGCCGATCTCCAAGACCAAGAAAAACTAAACCGATCCGTCTGGGCAAACGTAACTCCGGACATGGTGAACGATGCCTACGGTGAAAAGTTCCATCCCTTTGCCGAGAGCGGCGAGTTCAAAGATAGTATGTTGAGTGCTCATTGAAGTCTTGACTCCCATATCTGTTATTGTATATGCTTATGTTCTTCGCTTATAGTTGTTGACAAATCCGAACGTGTTATTGCGAGCAATGTTTTTGAGGAGATGGATTTTCCTACAATGTCAAATGGAAGAGTAGCGCTACTTGGTGATGGTATAGTCCTCGCTACTCATCTGGTGTAAAGGTCCACTTAGTTGACCCTGTTATTGCAGCCGCTCACTCTATGACCTCCTTTTTTGGCCAAGTAAGTCTCTCCTGCTTACACCCCCAACCTTCTTACTAACAGGATTGACCTTTTGTAGGGTGCTTGCCAAGCCATCGAAGATGCTACCGAGCTTGCCAATGCTCTCCAATCATATTTCTCCGCTCCTTACAAGGAAGACTCCTCTACCGAGAAACCCGCTCAGAGAGAGGCTTCAAGTCTTGCGCAGACTCTGGGAGCCTACAGCGATAAGCGCGGCGAGCGAGCCAAAGCGCTCGTCTCATTTTCAAGCAACTACGCAAAAGTACATACGGGGAAATTACCATACGGCATGGGCCCGTTGGTCAGGAAGCTGATCTTTGCGTATTTACCTGCGTGGGGATGGATGTGGGGATTGACTTGGCTCTATGGGTATCAGCCTACGGTCGATATTATTCGTGATCCCTTCTCTTGATGTGCACGAAGAAGACTATTCGTGCCACCATTTCGGTTGCAGCTAATGTTCGCAGTTGGCCGCAGTCCAAACTTGAGAAACACGCACGGCCATTTTGCTCCGTTGTACCTAGTAGAAGTTGGGCGTTCAAAAATTGTCCGATGTTTTGTACTCTAATTAGAACTTTGCCGATATATAGACCAGGCGCATCTGAACTGCGGGCACATCTGAAGCATACACAGACTTATCCATAAAGATCGTCTTCTTTTCACAGCGAAAGCGCGCCTAGTTGATCTACCACAGTTGTCTCAATCGGCCTACCGGAAACCAAAGACCTCACCATTTCCCAGCACTGAAGAGTCCCGAGATCTACATTAGCATTGTCGGCTGGCCGCCATCAATACGGAGGAACCTTCCACAGAATATGATGTCAAAGGATCGTCCACAGGGGGCCAGACGGGGTCTGAGCTATCCACCACTCTGTCGTAAATTTTGCGTATTTTCTCTTGGTTACTGCAACCGCGATCAGGATGTAAAGGTTAATATTGGATCATCAACGTTGGACTCACTCAGCTAGACGAATCATAACGTCCCACCAGAACTTTAAAGAACGGGTCATGACATTTTAAGCCTACTACGTAATATGACTTAACATACACTTTAACTATCTTCAGGGTCTCAGCTGACGTCTGTCATTCGTTCAGACCAATTTTAAGGTCCGCTGGTGGATCGGTTATAATGACCAATCAGAAAATACGCAAAATTTACAACAGAGTGGTGGATAATGTGAGCTAGATCATTAAGGCTATCATGACAATTGATATCCTCGTACGTTCAGCAGGAGGAAGCGAGACGACTTGCAGCGCAAAGCGCAAAGCGCAAGGGATCATGTCTTACGACCAATGTAATCATTGGTGGACAGGAAGAAGGGTGAAGAAAGAGGAATCGTCGGAAATGTTGACTCCCTGTCAAGATTAAATATGGCGGGGAGGTCATCGGCGATCCTAACCTGTTGAAATGCATCTTCGTAAACCTGATCCGAAGGCATCTACTACTAGCAAAGGGACACATCAACCGTTGCACCAAAAGGACAGCGCTTGTGGGTTTTGAAACACACTTAATTGATTTATCCCCACTGACTCTACTCGGAGTACAGAAAGGTACACAAGTCTCAAGTACTCGGAGATAGCTCCGCACGTAAGATAGGCATCTTCAAGAGAATAATTTATTACTAACTGTATGGAACATCATACACAAGCCATACACACTCAAGTATTTGACAATCTAAGTTTATACTACCTACATGGATGAATTACATAAAACTTACTTATAGACTTAGGGATTGTCGCTCAATATCTCATACAGAATTAGTTTAATACTAAGAAGATATTCCCCTCATTATCTCTTTCCTTGTATAGAATGATCGGGCCACATGATAGGACACTTGGTCAAACCAAGGCCCAAGGCCGCTGTCAACAAAGAAATGGTGGCCGATTGCATGAAGTCCTCGAACGTGCTTCGATGATGGAGTCTGATCCGTCAGCGTAGTGTTACTTCCCGGGACCTCCCCGATCTTCGAATCAGACAGGCTACGATTTCCTAATACGGGCCGCGACCAACGGGTATGAGACGTGCATCAGAAGTGCGTCAGTATACGCTAACCAGATGAGGATAAGTCAGCCTTTCTTGTACTAGTGTTATACTAGTGTGACGCATCAGGCGATGAGGACGTAAGAGTGGTCAGAGGAAGCGACTTGCTGAAGCTTAACGGGTATGGGCCAGGAGCCACGTCAAACGATCTACTTGTGCCGCTGAAAACTGTGTTCTACTACGTAGAGCATTGATACAACCTGATGATGTCCGGACCATCGCTCACTAGTTGTAGCCGACTGAAATTCATAAGATGAGCTTAAATTAAAAGTGAATGATCATTTTCACGAGGACCCTTGAAATAAGATCAAACCTCAAAGAGGCTGTGAATCGTTGCTCTTGATGGTTTATTCTCACGCTCGAACGTACCTTTCGGCGATATAAGTTAAAGAACGCCTTAGAGGCTCTAGAATAAGGGGGTCCTAGCAGCAACTCTAGGGCCGGAGGGCTCTACCCCCAGCACACACTACGACGTATTCATGCAGCACTAACTTTTAGCTAGAGTGTGCTAGTGGCGCTCTAATTTGAGCGTACATTGACGCCTTTTGATGCACGACTCGGTAGAGTTGATGCTAAGGCTGATTAGCCGAATGTCGCCCAAGTTGAATATCATGCTCGAATTTCGGGGCTCCTTTCAAGACAACACCCAGTCAATCTCGCTAAATGGACGACGCTCATAGGTCTTCGACCACATTCGTTTTGGTTATGCTCACGCTGAAGCACGTTTTCGTGCATGTCCATAGTAGTCTTGCTGGTCATGTATGGATCCTAATACGGTAAGTAGAACAAATGCTCAGCTGCCTCACCGTGTGGGGGCCGGCCCTGTGTGGTTGTTGGGAAGCGACTTCAACCCGATGTCGCCATCAGCCTGAGCCGTCCTGCATTGACTTGTGCTTGTATGTAGGTCGAACCTATCATCCTTTGGCATATCCGACTCTGGTGGCCTAGACGTACCAGCTGTTATGCACAGGCTGAGCAACAACGCTGACTAAATTTCCGGACCACTTGGACCTGGAATCCTGGCAGAATGCTCCTTTGAAAGCTCCGAAATGGTCTTGGGTATAGAGTGATGGTAGCCATGAGCGGCCAGGAACAACTTGATCGGCAGTGAAAGAGCGACCCCAAGAAAGCGTACAGGTAATGCAGCTGCTGCCATCTGACTTCTTCAGTCATGTTGCATCACACAAGAAGTGATACGGAACAACAGCCTACATATGTTTACGCTGTTTGCTGCATGAAGTTGTCACCTGGTGAAAAGTCCTTCAGTTTTTACGCTTCTGGTCACGAACATGAAAGGTTTGTAACTCATAATCTCTGCAAGAGTTCTGCCTGACAGCCTTGCTACAGCTACAGCTACACCAACAATGCGGAGGAGCTGCAACTTTTGCAGGTCACGGAAAATTCGATGTTCTGGACAAAGCATTTGTAGTGCCTGCTCCGAACGCAATATTGATTGTGTCTATGTAAGAGAGGCGGCCAAGGGCCGGCCCAGAGGGTCCATCATGAAAAACGTCTCTCGAAGTACGACACAGGATAGCATTGGCCCAGTACGCTTAGATGCCTTGTCTGCCGCTGCGGAATCTTCAGCATTCAATTCATCTCTCACATCGTCCACTTTTGCGCCGAAACCCAGCGACAAAAGGTCAGCCAACCTAGAACGTCCCAGTCAGTCGCTGAGGGGGATGAGTATTGCATGTGAGGAGAACCACAATTCTCTTGCTGCCGACCTTGAGGACATGTTTGACGAAGCCTTCAGGAATGCCGGGGTTATAGCAGATAATGCATTCCAAGAATCTCTGGCAGCCTTTCATCATAAAGTCAACAATGAACCTGCATCAACAATGGATTCTCTTCTAGGCTTCTCGGCGGGAGACAGACAGCGTCGTACGATCAGCTACGAAAAGCTTCTTTATACCATGACACTAGAACTGGTAGAAATGTTATCGATTCGGTTTGGTAATCTTGGGTGCTATCAGCTTGGTGACTCGACTGCGAGATTCTACGCTGTCAGTCTCGCAAATGATGACACCCCAACGATGTTTGAATCCACGGCGGCCCAAGAAGCTGACCCTCTGGTTGACTTTGACGCCCATCGGAGTACCCAACTCATTGAAGTGTGGTTTTCGGTCCATCCGCTATCGAATATCATGTCCAAGACCATGTTCTTACGCAACTATAAAAGCAACAACCATGACCCAGCTCTATTGGCTGTCATGCTTGCAGATGCTAGCTACGTGCACGAAAACGATGCGACTGGAAGCAAGAAGGAGGCGCTTTTTAGGTGGACGGCGATGCAGTTACGTGATCGGCCAGCCCAAAATTGCGGCCTTTCGACCGTCCAGGTCCTAATGCTGCTTGGCTGGCATGAGCTCTGCCTTTCACGAGCTAGGCGAGCGACTTGCTATTTGGGATATGCCGGCAGAATTGTTACGAGGCTCCAGAAGAATGTGATCCAAGCACCCGAGACTGGACGCAGCCAGATCAACGGTGTTGACGTGGCTGAGGTGGAAGCTGAACTTGTGCGCAATATCTATTGGCTTACCTTTTCTATTACGCTTTGGTCTTTCATGCAGATCGATCAGCCCTATCCCCAGCTGCTGCCCAGCACGGTACCTACCGAATTTCCACCTGTGGACGAGTCATCGTCAGCAGTCGTAAAATTAGACATCGTCTCGGACAATGTTTCAACATTGGCAAAGCAGTCAAGAATGATCCAGGAGCTGTGGCCTCTTAGTCACATTGCGTCAACCACCGCCCATATTTATGCTCTCCTTCCTCGGGAGCAGGAACCGGACGAAGCCTCCCAGTCTGTTTCCTGGCAAGCGCGACCTCTCCATCAGCTTCGTCGCCTGCTCAGCCTAAACCAAGACATTTCGAGTCTCTGCACAAACGTCCGAAAGGTGTTGGTCAACGCGGTCAAAGTGCTTGAAGTCAAAGTAGAAAATGCACTATCGAAAGCACTGGTCTTGACCGCTTATCACACCACCATTATTCATCTACTATTTCCTCGCTTGGACTCCGCAGACGAACGCGTCTACGTGTCAGAAGAGCTCTTGGAGGACTTCTGCACCTCTAGTCGAAGCTTGCTCGAACTGTTTTCAGTCGCCGATGCAGAACATGATGGTAGTAATCTAATCACTAGGATGCGAAGCTCTACCTTTGCCGATGTTTTTGTGTTAGGTTTAGATGTCTGCGGCAGAGCCATTGAATATTTTCACATACGCTCTCAAGAAGCTTCAGAGTTGGAGCGTAAAAACATATCAAAAAAGGCGGTGGATATAGAGTTGATCAGTTCTCAACTGCACAAAATATCCAAGAGCGAGACGTTGTTAACAGCAAAGAATCTGAGACCAGTCAAGAAGAAACTCAAAGAGGTCAAGCTACGTTTTAGCCACGCTGACGCTCTTTACGACACAGAGCCTCCTTCCTCGATAAATAGTGACATAGGCATATTCCCTGATAGTGGTGGCTCTACACTCAAGCCAATGCCCACGCCCACCACCAGTGCCCCCCTTTTCCAGGCTATTCAAGGTATACCAGAATTGCAGCTGGATGTTCCAATTCAAGGATTATTTCCACAGGAATTTAGCGCCCCGCTTCCCGAAGGCTGGCCCAAAGCCTCATCCTTAGATTTTGGATCGGGGCCATCTGATATATCGAGTAGGGATAATCAGATTGACTGGACAAGGGAACAAGGCATTCAGAAGTACAATAATGAGTACAATGACGCTGGCTTGGCTTTGCATGGCAATTTACATGATGATCCTGGTAGTCTAGCTCTTTTGAGCGGAGGTCCATCAGGGCATATCAACTTGGCAGGATTTCAGCAAGAGTATCACCAGATAGCTTCAGCTCCAGGACAGAGCGAATTCAGGGCCAGTGAGATAGCTGCCGGCTCAATGGTTCCTCGATTGAGTATACCCGAGGTCGGGATGGGGATAGATCTCTTTGATCTTGGTGTTCTGGACGGCGCTGAAGGCTGGCCGCCGGGGACTAAGTCTTAGAAATTTCATTCTTCCTTCAAGTTTTATATATATATAACACGCTTTGGCGTTGTACTTATCTCTCAACAAAGACCCAAAAGAGTGGCAGGAACTGTCGGGTAACGCTGAGTACAGTAAGCGTGAGGGGGCACCAGCACACCAGCACACTAGTACACTAGCACACCAGCATAGTGGTAGCTGTTCTTGAATCTTGCTACAACGACTAGAGAAACTTTCGCTTCCACCTGTGTATTGGCATACGAGACGGAGAGAGGGATTTTCAGGGTCAAAACAGCAAAAACGTACTCCGTATTGTGGCTAATATTACAAAATCGAAGAGAGCTCCCTCTGTTTCTGCACTCTTCTCCCAGCAAAGCCCTAATAAGTGATAGAAACCATCTGCCCCGCATACTTCTTCATCCCATCTCCCTTCACTATTTCATCAAACACCCAACCCCCAACATCCTCCCGACTAATCGTATATCCCACCGCAGGCTTCTTGCTCTCCTCGCCAACCCTCACCTTCCCCGTCCCCAGTCTCGGTCCATCTGTCAACAAGCTTGGCCTTACAACCACGAAATTCCTAATCGCCTGTTCATCCGCGGGCTTGGCCATTTCGGCAAGAAGTAAAGCTTCCATCGCTTTCTTGTCCTTATGTGGCACTGCAAGTAGCCAGTGATAAAGCGGGATCATTGCCAGCGGGATATCGCGTTCTTTGGAGCTAATTCCGGTGGTGCTTAAGGCTACCAGCACCGGCTTCTTCGACGAACAAGGCATGCTGCGCAAAGCGGCGAGGATGGTGCTGATGGCATCTTGGCAGATGGTGGGGTCGTCGAAGGTTGGGTTTAGGGGGTTGGGGGAGAAGATTGGAGGGCGGCCGATGCCGGAGATGACGAGGTCGACAGGGGAGTTGGCATTATCGTTGGGTTTGGAGGGCGCACTGAGTGTGCGAGATACGCTCTGTAAGTCGCGGACGTCGCCTTGGATGATGGTAAGGTGCCTGTCGATGGTGGATTGGGGCACTTTGCGCTCGAGGAGGAGGGTTTGGAGCTTTGAGGATGAGCGGGACACTGAAGTAACCAGCAAATAGAGAGTTAGCGGCGGGATGATCAGATAAATATCGGGGCCGGACCCTCGCTAGTCAGCGGCAGTTGTCTTCCGTCAATTAAGCATTGCATGGAAACAATGTTGAGGGGCACAGAGCTTTGCTAATATCGAGGAGGTCAAGGGCAAAAGATACTTACACGCAGAGCAGGTGTAGCCAGCTTCAAGGGCGAAAGCTAAACATGCTACTGTCGAACCGCCCGTCGCTCCGAAGAACGCGATTGTGGCAGGCATGCTCAGTAGGCGGCAATGTTTGACAATTAAGGTAACCACTACTGAATGTTGTTGATCGATTATCGACAGACTATGAGAGTTACAGTGTTAATTGCTAAATAATCATCTGTTCAGTCTTTCGAAGGGGGGGATGTGATATAGGAAACAGGCAGAATCCGCAAAACCTCCGTCGCCGCACGGAAGCATTGCCAAGAATGACACCTAACTTGAAGTACTCACCTACTGGCAGGTCCTCCGCATCCCCACGGTTACTATATACGTTTCAAACACGACAACCATTGGCACCGTAAAGCCTCGGGCATATGATACCCGTTGTCGGTCTGATGTACAAAGCTGATGATGGGCCTGGAGCTGCGCTCCGTCTGTCCTCGGCAGCGAGGAGGTGCTCCTCAAGAGTCCTCATTTCTATGCCCGTGTCGGACCATTACGTTTTCTCACTGTTATGTTGCAAGATGTCTTGCGATAGACTTCCTTTCTATGTGTTCCATAAGAACCTACTTATGTCTCGAGGTAGGCCGAGTCGCAGAGTTCTTTCCCTCATTGTTATCATCATCATATAGAGCTTCACATTGACAATAGAATTGTATCACCAACCCGCTGTATCAAGAAAACACTCTAGAAACTAGCTCGAAGAGACTTTTCCGTTCTAATACACCATGACTTCGATATCCTCCACGACTCAATCCACCACCTCATCATCCTCGACTCCATTCGAGTCACGCTCCCACTCTCCGTCCAATTTTCCAAATCCCCTCAGGCCTTCTTCTGTGGCAGGGGATGATGACCCTGCCGCCATTGTGGGTCTGGCTTGTCGTGTGCCTGGAGCACAGAACCCGAGTCAGCTGTGGAAGCTTATCGACGAGCAGAGGGACGTGCAGCGGAAGATGCCAGAAGACAGGTTCAATGTGGATGCTTTCTATCATCCTGAGGGAACTAACAAGGGGACCGTAAGTCTTGTGGTCTCTGGCACGTTGCATTCGATTTCCTGATATGCACACTTGTTTCTTTCGTTGTCACATTCGATCTACTCATTCACTGTCACCTCGGAAGGTTTCACTTTAATGTCATACGGAACGCTTTCATCACTGTTCGCCATGACTGCTCACTTTATCACCTGGGCTAAGCACTTGATTGACGACTTGTGGAATGAAGATATATAAGTCCTCCCATTGTATCCATGCTTACCATTCCTTAGACGAATGCGAAATATGGCTATTTCCTCGACCAAGACATTGGTCTATTCGATGCGGGTTTCTTCAACATCTCTGGAAAAGAGGCAGAAGCTATGGATCCGCAGCAGAGATTGCTGCTTGAGGTGGTGTACGAAGCCTTGGAAGATGGTGCCCTCCCCTATATGCGATAGTTTTTACCAAGAGTGCTGACATTCCGTTCAGCTGGGATTCCCCTCGAGAGCATCAGCGGTTCTCAGACGTCGGTCTTTTGTGGTTGTTTCACCAATGACTACAACGCCATGACTACGAAGGACCTAGAATCTTACCCTAAATATACCGTTACGGGGACCGGAAACTCGATTTTGGCAAATCGAATTTCCTACTTCTATAACCTCCACGGGCCGAGCGCAACCATCGACACGGCGTGCTCCTCGTCCCTGGTTTGCTTCCATATGGGCAACCAATCAATCCGAAACAACGAGTCGGACTTGTCCATTGTCGTCGGCTCTGCGCTTCATTTCGATCCCAACATCTTCATTACCATGACTGATCTTGGTATGCTTTCCACTGACGGTCGATGCCGTGCTTTCGACGCTTCTGGTCGTGGCTACGTCCGGGGTGAAGGCGTCTGCGCCGCCATCTTGAAGCGTAAGCGTCAGGCGGAGCTAGACGGCGATTCGATTCGTGCTATAGTTAGAGGAACTGCTGCAAATCACGATGGGAGGAAACAAGGGATCACTTTGCCATCCTCCGAAGCCCAAGAGGCACTCATTCGGAGGGCCTACCGGATTGCCAATGTCGACCCAGCGGATACGCAGTACTTTGAAGCGCACGGCACAGGAACTGCGGCAGGAGATCCTCGAGAGTCGCGCGCAATTGGGGCCTTCTTCTCTGAGAAACGAGAGCAGGCTCTAAATGTCGGCTCGGTGAAAACAAACATTGGTCATTTGGAGGGTGCTTCTGGTCTGGCCGGTATCATCAAAGCAACTCTCTCACTCGAGAACAGAAAGATCCCTCCTAACATGCACTTCACATCCCCTAATCCGAACATCGATTTCGACGGCTGGAAAATATCAGTTCCAACCAAGATGGCGGATTGGAATTCACCAAATGGCCTGCGGCGAGCCAGCATCAACTCGTTTGGTTATGGTGGAACCAATGCACATGTTATTCTCGAGGGCCACAATCAGTCCAAGTACGGCGAGGAATCGGTTGCTACACTGCCAGACATGTTCGCTGGAATGGTTTACAAGAGGCCTTTCATGGTCCCGCTGTCCTCGCACTCCGAAAAAGCTGGGAAGTTATTAACTCACAGTCTAGCGAACTATCTGGAACAGCACCCGGATACCTCTGTACAAGATCTTGCGTACAGTCTCAGCGTTAGACGCTCGATGCACAAACAGCGTTCGTTCGCAATTGGAAGGGATCAAGAAACAATAGCTAGGGAACTCGCAACGCCACAACCTACCGCGGTGTGGACTGCAGCATATGAAACCAAACCAAGGCTTGGGTTTGTGATGACGGGACAAGGTGGCCAGTGGTACGCTATGGGCAGGCAGCTGATAGAACAATCACCTCTGTTCAGGCAAACTTTAGAAATATGCGACGAGGTCCTACAGCGGCTCCCAGATTCGCCAAACTGGTCCATCATTGAAGAGCTTCTTCGATCGAAGGAAACATCTCATCTAGCCGAGACCCAATTCTCACAGCCCATCTGTACAGCCTTACAGCTTGCCATTCTCGATCTGTTGCGACAATGGGGTATCAAACCGTCTGCTGTGGTTGGCCATTCTTCCGGTGAGATGGCAGCGGCATATGCTGCAGGCATTCTCTCGTTCGAGAACACCATCGTTGCTGCGTATTACCGAGGTTTATATATGTCTAATGGCAAAGGTTCGAAGGCCGGAGCCATGATGGCGGTGGGAATGACCGAGACCGAGGCTATGGCTGAGTTGAAACCGTACGATGGACGAATTGCCATGGCTGCAATCAATAGCCCATCAACCATGACTTTGTCTGGTGATGAAGATGCGATTCTCGAATTAAAGGAGAAGCTCAGCGAGAGGAAGATCTTCGCCCGGCAGCTTCAGGTCGCCCAGGCATTCCATTCTCACCACATGTATCCACTAGCTCCAGGCTACCAGAAGGCGCTCAATGGCCATCCAGGGTTTGCGGCTCAAGGAGCCAAACTTCGAATGTTCTCAAGCGTCTCTGCTCGCGTCGCAGACCCTCGCAAAATGGACGCATCCTATTGGACCGCGAACATGACAGGAACGGTCAGATTCTCGGACGCTTTGACCGGGATTATTTTAGACGACATGGATGAGCAAAATATTGATCTGCTTGTCGAAATTGGTCCTCATCCCGCCTTGAAAGGACCCTCCCGACAAGTTATTCAGTCATTAAAGCTCGATATTCCCTATTTGGCTTCCTTAACTCGTGGCATCCCAGATTATGAGGGCCTTCTGGGCATGGCTGGACAATTGTTTATGCATGGCTATCCAGTGGACTTGGTCGCCGTCAACAGCGATCACTTCATTGGTCAGGGTGGCCTGATTTCTGCTGTACACAAAGGCAGCAAGCTAAAGACCCTTCCAAGCTATTCATGGGATCATTCGAGATACTGGGCGGAGACTCGTGTCATCAAAGATCACCGACTTCGTACACGTCGGCATGCTATCTTGGGGGCCCCTGTTCCTGGATCTATCGGATCACATCCACGCTGGCGCAACTATTTGAGATTGAGCGAGCTTCCTTGGCTATCTGAACACGTTATCGATGGCAAGACCATATTTCCAGCCGCTGGATACATCAGTATGGCTATCGAAGCCAAGGCTGATCTGGTTGGAAACGTCGTGGATATCAAGGCAATCACTCTTCGTGATGTTTCAGTCAAATCCGCTTTGACGCTGACGGAAAAGGACGCTGGTACCGAGGTGATACTCGAGTTGCGACCAGTCTCGATCTCGGCAAAAAGTATTTCTGATTCCTGGCACGAGTTTGCAATATTTTCATTTGACGACAGCGAGAGAGGCATTGAGCACTGTCGAGGCCTCATCTCGGCCGAGCTGGGCTCCCCTACATCGGTTGAACGGATCAAGCCATACGCATCGCTCGCGGAGCTTGAAAAGAACAGTAATCGGCGTGTTTTGCTGCAGAATTATTACCAACGCCTTGACTCTCTTGGTCTCCATTACGGCGAAAACTTCAAACTTCTGTCCGGCGCAATCGAAAGTGGACCTGGATTTGCTATGGCACCCCTTACTTTCCGCCAGTATCAGATCTCCACAGAGCCAGCAGATATTTCCATTCTGCACCCAACAATGCTAGATGCGTCAGTGCATGTGATATTTGCAGCCATTGAATCTCAACTAGGCAGACCACTTGATGAACCATTCATCCCTACTTTTCTTCGATCGATGAAGGTTTCAGGCTCTTTCACAAGCGCGAAGGCTGTCGATGAAGAGCAAAAGTTTCATGTGTGCTCCCACACTACGCTATCAAGTCCCCGCGTCGCAATCAGCGACCTGCGCGTTCATTCTGAGGGGTGCAACGAGCTCCTCATCGATATGCAAGGCTTGCAATTGACGGCACTCGGAGGTGATACGTCGGATATCGCTACTGGGCGGAGTCTGTTTTTCAGGACAAGATGGCAGCCATCATTCGATCTTTTGGGTACTAGTGGTTGTTTGTCATCCATCAACGGTATTGCCCAAGTCATGGATATTTATGCCCATCAGCACCCGGATTCCCAGATTCTTCACCTGACTTCTGAAATCAGTTCTTCTAAAGAAACATTGCGCCTTCTTGGTGGCCGTCAGGGAGAGCGCCGTCGTTTCAAGAGCTACACCCCATACCCAGCATCCTCTGGTCAATTTGATGAGTTGCTGGACATATGGCCAGGCTTGATCAAGATCGAGGAGCCCAAAGAAGGCAGCTTTGACCTTGTCGTCGTTGAAAAGAATGCCGACTATGACATCGAGGCTTATGTAAAGCCCGGTGGGTTCGTGATTAGCAAGGATATGGACGTCAGCTCCGAGGCCTTAACTCCACTGTTTTGCAATTCAAGTTTTATCGCAAGGCAAAAGAGCCAGACAGTGGCCAAGATCACAGAACCACTCACACTTGTGTTGTCACCAGTCCCTTCTAATCGTACGAAAACCATTACCTCTCAGATTGAAGCAGCACACGATGGGGTGACATCCAAAATTACCTTTGCGCAGTTGGCTAAGCAGTCTGATCTGCACGAGCACATTATTGTGCTTGCCAGCCTTGACGAGGAGGTATTATTTACCGACTCAAGTTCTGGCGCCGCAGATTACAACGCTGTTCAAAAGCTTCTTACACAGCCGGGAAAGAACATTGTGTGGCTGCTGGAGGGAGCCACCATGGAATGTCAAAAGCCAGAGCACGCCATCATTCATGGTCTAGCAAGATCTGCCCGCAGTGAAAATGATCAGTTGAGATTGGTCATGCTCGATGTTGCGCACACTTCGAATGACCACGAAGTCTCTCGACGTCTCATGCAACTACTCAACCCGTGTGTCAAAGAAGACGAGATATCCGAGCGAAGTGGAACCCTCTTCATTCCACGAGTCGAGCCTGACGATACGTTGAATTCGAAACTTCCCAACGGCCTCTATGGCGAACCTAGACTTGAACGGTTTAGCCAGAGGCGGGCACTTGCTCTGAGAATCGGTAAAGTCGGCTTGTTGGAGACTTTGGTCTTCGGTGAGGATGAAAAGCTGATTGATTCAAATCTCGAGGAAGACGAGCTTGAAATTGAGGTAAAAGCTTCGGCTATCAATTTCAGAGATATCGCTGCCAGTATGGGTATCATTGAGGATGATAAGCTCGGTGATGAGTGCTCTGGCATCGTTATACGGAAGGGCGCCAAAGTCGACGATTCCGCATTTCAGGTCGGAGATCGTGTCGTTGCCTGGAGACCAGGCCAGGGTGCGCACTGCTCTATCGTGCGCAATCCCGCCTCTTTATGCTACAAGCTAGGCGAGATGCCTTTTGGAGTTGCTGCTGCGATGCCGCTAATCTTGACAACGGCCTACTACGCGCTGATGGACGTTGCACGCTTGCAGCGTGGGGAGACCGTCCTCATACACTCTGCAGCCGGAGGAGTGGGTCAAATGGCCATTCAAATTGCGCACATGGTCGGAGCCAAGGTCATAGCAACTGTAGGCTCTCAGACGAAACGCGATCTCCTCAAAACCAAATTTCACCTCACCGACGACCAAATCTTCTCGTCTCGTGACGACTCATTCGTTGGTGGTGTGATGAAGGTGACTCATGCCAAGGGGGTTGATGTGGCCCTGAACAGTCTGGCGGGAACGTTGTTGCATGCTACTTGGGGCTGTGTCGCTCCATTTGGGCGATTCATTGAGATAGGAAAGCGTGATATCCATGAGAACTCGAAGATCCAGATGGATCCTTTTAGGGTCAATGTGACGTTTGCGTCAGTGGACCTGATCACCATGTTCGAGCGCAACAAGCCTCTTGGAGCCCGTGTTTTCCAAGAATGCTGCAAGCTCGTGCACGACGGCGTTATCCAACCTCCGGAGACGATCACCGAACTTTCTTATGCGGAGGTTCAAAAAGGCTTCAGGCTTTTGCAAATGGGTAAGCACACGGGTAAGGTTATCCTTGTACCAGGCAAAGACGACATAGTGCCTGTGCTTCCCTTCAAATTTCGAAATAAGAAGCTGTTCCACTCTTCCAAGACATACTTGCTTGTGGGCGGACTTGGGGGACTAGGAAGAACTCTAGCTGAGTGGATGGTCCGGAAGGGCGCCAGACATCTAGCTTTCTTCTCCCGCTCAGGAGCTGACAAAGCCGACGCGAAGTCTACGGTTGACTGGCTGAAAGCTAGGGACGTTCGAGTTTCCGTGTTCCGTGGAGACATAAGCAACTATGCAGACGTTCAAGCTTGCATTGTGGCATGTGGTTGTGAACTTGCCGGAATCTTTCAAGCCGCCATGGTTCTACAAGATGCGCCGCTCGATCAGATGACCTTCCAACAATGGGAAACATGCGTCCGTCCCAAAGTCCATGGGACTTTCAACTTACATAAGGCAACACTGCAGAGTCAACTCGATTTCTTCGTCTGCTTCTCATCCGTCTCATGCATTCTGGGTTCGAAGGCACAGGCCAATTATTCTGCAGCAAATAGTTACCTCGATGCACTCATGCGTCGGCGTCGCGAAATGGGTCTCAGGGGTACGACAATGAACTGTGGCATGATTGTTGGAGTTGGTGCCGTGGCCGAAGATGCTGCGCTGCAGAAGGTCATGGAAAGAATCGGTTACGACCCCGTCAGCGAGCAGGAGCTTCTTTATCAGATTGAAGAAGCAGTCAGTGCAGATTATTCGGCAACGTCCTCAGGTCAAGGTGTCGACCAGCATCAAACTATTACTGGGGTCAATCTTCAACGGCAGGAACTGTTCTGGGCTGAGAAGCCTCTTTTCCGCAACTTGTACGCTAACCACGACTTCAATGGAGAAGCTGCTCAAGGTTCCGTCCACAAGAATCTGGCTGCTCTCATTTGCAATGTCACTGATCCCCAGGAACGCATCGATCTTCTGATGACCGCCTTCGTTGAGAAAATTGCCGCTGTATTGGCAGTGTCGTCCGATATCATCCAGCCAAAGAATCCTCTTTCCGCATATGGATTAGACTCTATCGTCGCCGTCGAGTTCCGGAAGTGGTTCTCGAAGACCGTTGGGGTTGATTTGTCTCTCTTCGATGTACTTGGGTCGAAGTCCATCAACGCCTTAGTTACCAGAGCAGCAGGCCTGATCAAGGTCGACGAGATGAAAGACGAAAAGACAGACAACAAGAAGGTCGAAACCGCCAAGAAGACCAGTGGTGGCAAGCAAGAGCATGCAACAACACAAGGCTCGTCTGGAGAAATCTTTAGGACTCAGGCGCCTGAGAATATACCAATGTCAACCTTCCAGAGTCGACTTTGGTTTGTTCACAACATGACCGAGGACAAGTCCTTCCTGAATCTCCCAGTGATCTTTCACCTGAGAGGCCAGCCGGTCATCTCTGCTCTTCAGCAAGCCCTGCTAGAGATGAAAAGAAGGAACGAAGTCTTGAGGACTTCTTATTTCGAAGGTGACAACTTCGCCGAGCAAAAGCCAGTCAGCGATTTTGATGTACATCTCGAATACCAAGACTTTTCCACTGCGAAACAGCCACGTGTCTCTTTGGACAAGCACGTTACGCAGCTCTGCAAGCAGGAGCTTGATATTGAAGAAGGCGAAGTTCTCAGACTCGCATTGGCTAAGTTGCATGATGCTGAGTATGCGCTTGTACTTATCTTCCATCACATCTCCATCGATCGTGGCAGCTCCAAATCTTTCTTAACTCAGCTCACGTCGATATACGACTGCATCCGCAACCAAAACAACCTTTCAAGCATTCCATCCCCAAGGATACAGTACTCGGATTTCAGTGTTTGGCACAACGCTCAGCTGCAGTCAGCGTCGCTTGAATCTGAAATCAAATTTTGGAAAGAAAAATTTACAGGCGCTTCTGGCACAAGTAAGCTGCTGCCTTTTGCAAAGTCGGACCGGCCGGCACAGAATGACTACAAGAGGGCTGTACAGAAGGCAACCCTTGGGTTAAAGACACTTAACCGCATGAAACGGATATGTTCTGGCATGAAAATGACGCCTTTCCAGTTTTTGTTGACGGCATTCCGATGCTTCATCTATCGCTACACCGAAGAAAAGGACCTGACCATTCTCATGATTGACGGGAATAGACCTCATCCCGACTTAGAGGACGTTCTCGGCTTTTTCGTGAACATGATTCCGCTTCGATGCACAAATGACTGCGACGCAGGCTTCGACAGTCTGCTTGAGGATATGAAGAATGTTACCCTGGAAGCTATGGAGCATAGCAAGGTGCCGTTTGACACCATTGTCAATACGGTTGATATTGAAAAAGACCCAAGCCACTTCCCAATAGGTCAAATCGTTGTTAACTATCAAATGCATGGAAAGATGCCCAATTACCCAACGCAGGATTTCGATGTTTACGACATTACATCGGATGACGTTCCTACGGCTTGTGAACTTAACTTGGAAGCAATGGAAGATCCCGCAACAGGTCTGAATCTTCGTCTGGAGTACTCCACAACATTGTATGATAGCGAGGATATGAGTCGTTTCTTGGACAATTTCTTGGCCTTCACGACCAGTGTTATCAAAGATCACCGTCAGCCGATATCTGAAATTGGAATGTGCGGTCCGAAGGAGATTCAGCACCTCAGGAGCAACTACTGGGCTACAGGATTCACAGAAAACACTTGGAATAGCATGTCTGTGCTGGAAAAGATTCTCGAGAATGCAAAAGCTCATCCAAATGCTGTCGCCATTAGAACATCGGAGGACAATACAATCACTTACGAAGATCTTGTCCGCCGGGCCCGAAGAATAGCGTTCGCCTTACGGAGAAGAGGAGCTACACCAGGCCAGTACATAGGTCTCTTTTCTCGACCAGGAATCGACGCGATATCTGGGATGTTGGGCATCTTGCTCACTCGCTGCGGGTATTTATCTATGGACCCAGACTTTGCCGCAGACCGGCTTGCTTTCATGGCAGCTGACTCCAAAGCCCAAATCATATTATTTGGTCCAGGCCTGGAGGCAATCGCGACCGAGGTGGCCATAAAGACCGGACAATCACCCCAGACGATCGGAGTTGTTGAGGCTGCTTTAGAGGACAGCAAGTTGAGTCTGCTGAAGTCGGCATCTCCAGAAGACCCTTTCTATATGATCTATACTTCTGGCAGCACAGGCGCGCCAAAAGGCGTAGTATTGACTCAGTCCAATACACAGCAAATGCTCAGCACTCTTGATCATGACTACAAATTCGACGCCCAGGACAGGTTCCTTCACCATTCGTCGATATGTTTCGATTTGTCGGTGGTACAAATATTTTCGGCGCTGACCGCTGGTGCTACTGTTTGCGTAGCATCTGCTGGTGTACGAAAAGATCCGCTGTTGCTTGCCGGTTTTATGCAGCGTTCATCAGTTACCGTGACATACTTCACGCCCTCGCAATTTGCACTACTACTTGAGTTTGCCAAGGAATCGCTACAAAAGTGCGTCGACTACCGCGTGGCTTTCTTTGCTGGCGAGCGCTTGCCTGTTCGAGTGGCAAAGGCCTTCTACGACTTGCAGACACCAGCCACATTATATAATACCTGGAGTCCGAGCGAGCTGGTGGTGCAGACAACGATTCACAAAACCGCATATCCAGATGATCACTGCTTCAGTATTCCAATTGGATTTCCTATGGCCAATTGTCGGCACTACATCATGGACTCCTATCTCAATCCCCTCCCAGCTGGCTTGGTAGGCGAAATTTGTGTAAGTGGGGCCCAGGTGGGCGCCGGTTATCTGAACAGGCCCGAAGACAATGCGAAATCCTTTGTCGAGAATCCATTTTGCGAACCAGAAGATCGCAACAGGGGTTGGACTAGGCTTTTTCGGACTGGAGACAAAGGTCGATTCCGTTCAGATGGACAACTTGAGTTTCATGGACGGATCGCTGGCGATAAACAAGTCAAGCTCCGAGGCTATCGAGTCGATCTAGGGGAAGTCGAACAGAGGCTTTATCTGGAGTCATCCAAGGAGGCAGGAAATCGAATAGTCGACATTTCGGTTGTTGCCAGAGCCGTCAAGAACGAGGAAATCGATCCTAGCGTGGGATCTGCTGGAGAGACTGCAAGCTTGACAGATGACCGCCAACTGATAGCGTTCATCGTTCTTCAACAGACTCTCGATGTCAGACAGGGGCAGACATTTGTCACCTCATTACACGAAAAGATCAGTGTCCATCTCAACGACTATATGCTTCCCAACGGCTATCAATTTCTGGAAAATCTTCCGGTTACGATTGGCGGAAAGGTTGATCGGCAGAATCTTCTGAAGCGGGATTTGCATCTTGTCTTTCCCTCGTCGGTCTCCTCTCCGCAAGCATCGAATGAGCAGATCACCCAGGAGTCAATTGACACCAAAGTAATCCAGTCCATCACAAACATCTTCGGAGAGGTGCTGAAGCTTCCCAGAGATCATCAAATCGCACCAATGGACAATTTCTTCGTGCTCGGAGGCCAAAGCATTTTACTCCTGAGACTCCAATCAAAGATTAAACGCACATTCAAAACTTCTATTTCTTTGACGGATCTTTTCAAGGCTCCCACGCCAGCTGGAGTATATGATATCGTTATGAGCAAGACGCAGACGAAGAGCAAGGGCGGTGACGGGTCCAAGATCGCTAGCAGAAGTGTGAACTGGGCCGAAGAAACAATTCTACCAAGGGACAGACGATACATGGTTCCATATGGAGCTCGAGCTCTCAGCCGCGCAGATGTTTCCGAGATCTTGTTAACAGGGGTTGACTCTTTTATTGGCGTACACATGCTGGAGACTTTGCTCTCCGCTCAAGACTCCACGACCATTCATCTCATCGGCACCCAGCAGAAGCTCGAACATTCCAGCCTGGTAGCTTACATGGAGAAATATAACCTCCTCAGCGCAACCATCAACGAGGAGACTTTACGTTCACGAGTGCGCTACATACCAGGAATCCTCGCTGAGCCCCATTTCCAACTGGAAGACGCTGCGTTCAAAGACCTGGGACGCACCATCCAGGCAATCTACCACCTAGGCGGCCAGATCTCCCTTTTGAAAACATATACCGATCTCAAACAAGCCAACGTCTCCGCAGCGCTAGACATCATAGAACTCGCCGCCCACGGCAACCAGTTGACGGAAATCCACCACCTCTCCACCTGGAGCGTGCCCCATCTGCAAACTTGGTTCACCACCAACCGCACGGCGTCCTCAATCATCACTCACGAAACCGATCCGACGCACTTCTCCCCGCCCTCCTCCGACGAATTCGGATACTTCAAATCCCGCTGGGTGTCGGAAATGCTGATGACACAAGCCTCCCAGCGTGGGTTCAAGGTCTCCATTTACCGTGCGTCCGCCGTGACGGCCAGCACATTCACCCACGTCCCCGAACCCGCAGACGATTTTATCCGACGGATGGTTCTTGGGATGGTTGAATCCGGATGCACCCCTGAGATCGGTCGTGCGGATCCACAGTTCGCAGTTGATTTCATTCCGGTTGATTATCTCGTCTCTACACTGCACAGCCTTTCCAGCAGCAATAACCCCGGTATACACAATAAAGACATGTCAATCTATCACCTGGGAAACCCGAGCCCATTACCACTCAGCGCGCTTCCCGGACTCATGAGCGATATCCGCAGCGATGGCGCAGTGGGACGCAGTGTGAGTTTAGATGAGTGGTTGAGCATCATGTTAAAGAGCTCGAACGAGGATGATCAGTTGCGATGGGCGGTCCTGAAGGATTATCTAAGGATGGGACATGTGATGTTTGCGCTGGATCGGGAGGGGACTGAGGACAAGATTCAGATGGTGGGGGAGAAGGTGAGGTGTCCGCCTGTTGATGGGGAGTACTTGAAGGCGATGTGGAAGAGAGAGGGAGAGCGAGTTTGAAAAGCGATATTTGCGGTTGTACCACAGAGGACGGGGGAGAAAACACAGTGGCGCAGTTGAGGAGACTTTCGTCAGCATCGCTTGGTTTACCAGACTTCGGCGCACGTTGAGGGCTTATCGATTCTCCTAGTTCCAGTTCAGGTAGAGATTCGGATATAGACGCAGATTTCGATAGAAGTATAGCACAGCAATGTCGTTCACGCCATGGATACACGAAGAGTGTAGTTATCAGCATCCTCTCCATCTTCTGGCGTGTCTAGGTTGGCCGAGCAAGTGTTTTGGCGACCATCGCATCGTCTAGAATTCGCAGCACTTATGCAACGCACAGTCCAGAAACATCTATTACGGCGGACTGTTACGGGCTTAAGGTCAATTCAAAACCCATTTTAGAAATTTAAGATCGCTTTAAGACAGGGGTGCTCTCTTAGGGGTGCTCTTTTAGGGGCGCTCTCTTCGGGGCGCTCTCTTCGGGGCGCTCTCTTCGGGGCGCTCTCTTCGGGGCGCTCTCTTCGGGGCGCTCTCTTCGGGGCGCTCTCTTCGGGGCGCTCTCTTCGGGGCGCTCTCTTCGGGGCGCTCTCTTCGGGGCGCCCTCTTAGGGGCACCCTCTTAGAAACACCTCTTAGAGCACCCTCTTAGGGGCACTCTCTTAAGGACTCCAAAATCAATCAAGTCTTCATACAGAAGCACATCATGTAGTATTGGTTGAGATGGAATAATCAGCAAGGACTGCGGGCAATCCAAATATTTGAATTGACCTTCAGCCGGTAACAGTCTACCGTATCTACCACCACCGTATTACTATGGTGCTTCTGCTAGCACTCTTCCACTTCGCCACGTGACCATTTCAACATCATGGTAGATGTGCAAAGTTGCAACACAAAGACCTTTATCGTCTCTTGAGGCGTATCTGGTTGCTTAATTGAACAATTCCATCTCCAATGGTGCATCTGATGATTCATCATGGCAACCATTACACACGACATGGAGACTGACCCAATCACTGCTGCACTGCCACCCAACTCTGACTACATGACCTACTTGACCATCTTAGAGTATCAGCTCACGCCCGAAAGGCTGCCGATACTAACAAGACATCTTGCAGAGGATGACGGCACTCTGGCAAAGGAGGTTGGCTGGGACCTTGTTAAGCTGATCCTCCCGCTCATTAAAGCTGCTCCCAAAGAAGCAGCCAAATGTCTCGAGGTGGTTGCTCGTAGGGGAAACCCTAGAGAGGTGGTTGTCCGGGTAGCCGAAGCACTAGAGATTCTGGGAGCAGATGATGATGCTGCAGAATCTGGCCTCGACGAAGAGCCCATCACCGACGAGCTGCCCACCTTTGAAGGGGAGGCGCAGCGTATTCATCTGGGAGAAATGGACTTACATGGGATGCCTCCACCTTCTTCTACCAAAGAACACCCTTCCAATGATATGTCAGCATCCGAGCATCCACAAGAGACGATGGCCGCCCCGGATTCGCCAGCACTGCAACTCTCAACGCTGCTTTCAATGCTGGGAATACTACATCCGCGCATAAAAACCCAGTATCCGAGTCGGTTCTTAGCTACCTCTCTACCGGCCGCTTTGGGGGCCTATCGAAAAGTCCCAATCACTTCCGAGACCGCCTCAGCCTTTCTAGGTCTCCTTGGAAAGTTGTCTGGCAAGCAACGACCTGTACTGCCGCCTCGATCTTCGACAGCCAACATTACAAATATCAACCCTGCAATGACGTTCGGGACCGAAGTCTATGCACCACTTCCAGATCCTGAAGGACAGTCTCGAGATAACGCAAAAGCTCCGTCAGATCTCGAAATGTCAATCGTCTTGCGCTTGTTGCAAGCAGTTACATTAGAAGTCCTGGAAGAGTATTTGCTGGCAGATGCGGAGACGATGGAATGGTCTACGAGGTTACTCGAGAAGCACAGTCCTCAGCGAGCAATACCTGATCGAAAATCACGCTCTAGAATCTGGCAGGATGATGAGAACCTGCAATCGAAGGATAGCATGATGGACAAGTTTTGCCGTCTCGCTAACGATCTTCGGTTGAATCCTGAAGATGTCTTCAGCCATACGAACTTGCCTCTAGTGCGTAATCAAAAGCCAGAAGAGGTAATCATGGAGATGGGCACAGAGAAGGATGAAGACGAGGAACCATCAGAATTTCCTACCTCTCCATCCCAGATCCCATATCCCCATCTGGGCGCTTTGTTTTTGTATCTGGCAAGCAGGGTTTCTGCGGTCATTTATTCAGACCAAATCGTATCACCAGTGGAAATGTCAATGACAGATCTGCACCACTTTGTCAATCAATTCGTGGTGCCAACGCCAACGGTTCTCAATGACCATTTCTTTCCGAGCGTCAGCCACAATCCACCTTCTGCAATCGATGCGATGCTAGCACTTCTTCTACTCGTTGTACTGCCACCGAACCGGACCACGAGCAAGTCTGTACCTAGAGCAGACGACGATTACAAAGCCTTGATCAGTATCCTCTCCTATCTCTGCGCTGAGCACCCCAATCCGTCTTTCCGGACATCAGCCCACTACCTAGCAACAACTCTCTTACACAACCACCCCTCGTCCAACTTCCGCCTCTCGATCATCGAATCAACCATAACGGACTGCGGAACATTCGACAACCTCAAAGAAGTAGCCATCAACTGGCTCAAGGAAGAGATCCTCTTCACAATCTCTGTGCCCGCGTCCACCTCGTCATTGGGCGGTAGCGAAACCACACGTCAAAATCCCAGCAGCGATACCAACAACGACAACGAAAACAACATCTTCGCCTCTCCCACTTTTTTCTCCGATCACGAAACCCTCAGCTCATTGATTTTCCCAGCCCAACCACCTTCTTCTCCTTCTGACGAGAATGACAATGACCAGCCACAACCATCCAGCCCGAACCCAGCATCAGAAACGCCAACCACAGCGGCCATCGCCTCCCTAAACCTGCTCTTCCTCCTCCTCACCAACCCAACCCTAAAGGCCCGCTACCACCTCGCCGCAAAACTAACCTCCCACCAACAAGAGCCATCCTCCCTGGCCGTACCCACCCTCACCGAGGATGCGCCGCCCAGCACCTCCGACGCCACACCCACCCCACCAAAAACAGCAACAACAACATCCAATTCATCATCATCATCATCCATCGAATCCAAAACCCTCACCTTCCTCACCACGCTCCAAACCCACCTGGCCGAAAGGGCCGGAAAAGGAACAAGAGAAGAAGAAGGTAAGCTGGGACTCCTGGCCCTGGCCCTGGGGAGGGTCGTCGGGGCCCTGGAAGCATGGAAGAAGGAGCATGAGAGGGAGTGTGCCGATGACGGGGAAGGACAGGTAGGTAGGGAGTGAGGGGGGTGGGAGTAGGTTTGGTGATTTATCACCATGGAGGGGGCTTTGTTTGGGAACTTTAATCATGAGTATATGCTGGAAAAGCCGGCAACAAGCTGCTTTTCGTCAAATTGCGTTGGGCGTGGATATGGTAGTAACTAAACTAGGGGGCTTTCGGGGCTTTCGGGGCTTTCCTTTCCCGGATAATTTGGGGAGGGGGGGACCACAATAAGGTTACAGCGGACTTTTATTGGGTTAACAACACGTCAAATTTTTGAACTCCGCACCAACAACTCCTTAGATTTTCTGTCAATTCCCCTCAGCTTCCTCCATCCCAACTTCACGCCACATAGAATTATATAAATTATATTTACATATTAGGATCTTAGGGGGAGTGTGTTATGACCGCCAAGCCCCACGCACAGTATGAGGGCCAGGAGGACTCTGGTAGATCATTCTCTTGTTTGGCAGCTGCTGAGAAGGTTCTATGTTCTTCTATAGCACAAAGGCCTCTTAGCATTTAGATCTCTCTTCTCTCCCGATAGATTCTAGTTCTTTTTACGCTCAATAACTCATTCCAACAACCTCCTACTGTTCTATTGCCTTTGCACTCCCCTGAGATCCTAATAGAGTGCAAGGGTAATAGAACAGTAGGAGGTCAATGGAATGGAATGACTTATTGAGCGCAAAAAGAACTAGAATCTATCGGGAGAGAAGAGAGATCTAGATAACTAAGAGGCCAGCTGCCAAACGAGGAAGCTGTCAAACAAGGAAGCTGCTAAACAAGAGAATGATATAGAATCCACTGGAGTCCTCCTGGTCCTTATAATGTGCACCATGCTTGGCGGTCATAACATTACATTTTTTACTACGGAGTACTCCGTGTACTCTAAAGATTCTTTGTTGCTGCAGAGTTGCTACAAAGTTGGTGCGGAGTTGATGCGGAGTTGGTGCGGAGTTCAAAATTTTGATGTGTCGTTAACCCAATAACAGTCCGCCGTACAAGGTGTCCTCCATATCGATTGACCACGTACGTTAGGGTCTAGCCAAACCAAAAAAAAAACTTCCATCTCACTCCTAGTTATGCGCTACAGGGTCAAAGAAAACGGAGAACGAACTTGTCAGGGGACATGCGGTGGTCTCTGTTCCATTTTTCAACTAATGTAACATAATTTATATAACTTGCGTCTGAGTCTCCAGGCCACATACCCAGCCATGTCATATCATATCATATCATGGCCCCGTGAATAGTAACATTCATTCTCATCTGCCCCTTCATCAGTGGTGTGGTACCGCAATACCTGAGGAAAGAAAAAGCATCAAATGCAGATGCGGTTGCAGAGAATGTCGTGTGATTTGATTGTGTACTTTGTACATCGTAGTACACATATGACGGAGGAATCATGCAGCTGTGCAAAGCGTGATTGAAAATATCAGAATGGCCTCTTCAACCTAACTCACCCGATTTGCGCCGCCGGATGCAATGGTAGAAGAAAGAAAACGAAGACTTGTAAAGGCAAGGGACGGAACGTATGACGAAAGAGCTCAGAGCGACACCAACCAGTCGTGCAATCAGTTTTTGGTATCATGTTCCTGGACTCGTGGCGTTCAGATACTCCATTGGAACACGTGGCACCCTTGGACTAGCGTTCAAAGGTCCATTAAGACCTGCGCTAGCACCACCAGACAGCGCCCGCATGCGAGCCATCTCTCTGATTCGATCCTTTTCCTTTTCTCGTTCACCTTTTGTCCCTGTCAGTCTTCTCATACCACGCCTCATGCCCTCGAAGCTGAAGGAGCCATTAACTTCTGTGGCTGAGTGAGGAGTTACTGGTTTCGGTGTTGACAAGGTTGGCCCGCCAGCAGAAACGGAAGGACCAGGACCAGATGAGGTAGAAGATGTTTGTGTTGTCAGTAGTGGAAATGGCGAGCTTTCAGAATCCGAGAATGTGGCTTCATCGAGAGATTCGTCTTCTTCGGAAAGAAATGAACCACCGCCATTGCTAAAATTCGAGATGGCTGGTGCGGATGTAGGCTGTGAAATTGCACAATTGTTGGCAGGTGAGGTAATAGATCGACCGTGCAAGGCCGGTCTTACTGACAAGTGCATGTTAGGAACGGCTGGAAGAGGAAGTGTAGTGTAGTCTAGAGTGGCAGACACCGGTGTTGTGTTGAAAGCTGTGGGTGTCATGACGCTGTTTTGATGTGATGTAGGCGGCCGTGATTCTGCAAGGCCATTGTGGAAAGAAGACGAGGACGCCGTCCTTGCAAGAGACTTTTTGAGTATAGGTGCGGTTTGCTGATCGTATGTATGCGTGCCACTATCGTGCAAGTCGTGTGAATCGTAAGTGCTTGTGTTGATAGTTTCAGCTGTGGTATTTGGTTCGTCGAAGAAATCGTCAAGGCTGTCCAACTTATGCAAGAGGTCGTTCATATTCGCATCCGGTACAGTATCGACAGACTTCATCGTGTTGGTCCTCCTTGTAGGAAAGTAAGAATCCGAATATCCTTCATCCGACCTAAACTCGACCTCGGGTGTGGTTGCTGCATTTCTCTGCATGACTTCAGCATCACCACAGGTATAGAACACAGCATGGACATTGTTTCTAGTCAGGCTTGAGTAGACGGCCGGCATAGGAATTGACCAGCCAGTGGTCAGTGGAATACCATAAAGGCTTTGCGTTCGCTCATACTCCTTGCGGATAGCACGGGCTGAACCTGATGCCAGGCTCATTCGGATATGATGACGTTCCATTGGATTTCCTTGGACTTCCATGATGTGGTCCATGACTTCCAAGGCTTGAGGGCAAAGCTCGGTTTGAAGTAACCGCAATAAAGGTGAAATCAGATCTGGTCCGTGACATGCAACGTCCGGTCTCTTCATGTTCACTTCAGGGATGAGGACACACAAAATCTCCATTGTTTTCAACCTGAACCAGGAATTTTTGTTGGTGAGAAAGCCCATCAAAAACACCAAACTTTTCCCATCGTATTCCGGAAAAAAGGAAGACTGCACAGCAGCAATAGCAGGGTGGAGGAAGTCTCTGCTTGTTCTGTGATGGCCTCTGACGAATTCGGCCAGGCATTGGGCTATAGCAGCATATCCTTGTTGATCAGCCACTTCAGCTAACCGCGAGGCGCAGTGGAGAGTTTCCTGTTCCCTAGTCTCAAGGTCAAATTGACGAAGGAGTCGAGGTAGATTTGCTAGGACGGAGTAGAGAAGACGACTCGAATCGCCAACAAGGTCATTGTTTGGAAGACCAGCGAGTCGATCCAGAACGGACAGTGTGCGGTCTAGCGATTCAACCGACTTCAGTCCCTTGTAGACTAACGGCTGGAGTCCCTCAAAATCACCTTCCCATTTGGGAGGCTGTGCATCCATGAGGATTGTCACGACCATCGGTTCGCTCATATCAAGCCGATCAAGTAGTTTTTCAAGCATACCTAGACTTTCTGAAAACTCTCTCTCGTGAATGGTGTTGAGACAAGCACATGTAGTCCAGAAGAGCTGGGCGTAGCGCAAAATATCGTGAGGGTCCAGGTCACTTATGATGACTTTTAATGTGGTCAGAATTTCCATCGAAAATGTCTGATAGTCCGTCTGTTCATCGGCAATTGTGTTTGATAGTCGTGCAAGCATGTCAGCCAGCATTCGGAGGTCAAGCGTAACCGATAGGCATCTGAACACCTGGAAGGATCGGCAAGCCAGATGGCGGACAGGGCACGTGGATGCCCAGCAGAGTGCTTCTTTTGCCCACAGATCGTTGAAATTCTTATACGCCATACTGAAAAGCTCAACCACTTTTCTGCTTAGGTTCATCATCGAGGCAGGCACTCGGCTTCCTCCATCGTCATCTTCTTTGCCGTTGTTGTCCTCATAAGACCACACCACATCGGTCTCGTTCTGGCGAATTGCTTCGACCAAATTCTCAATCTCGTTCTTATTAGCTGCTAGCGTGCTGTCCCCAATTTTTGACGTGACCAGCTCGTGTATCAAATGTACAAGCATCTCTCGTGCTTGTTCCTGCACAGAAACAGTATAATGATCCCACAGTATGAGCACTGCGTGAATGAGCTTGATAGCACTATCCGTGGGGAGTGCAACTGGCGCTACCATAAGATCAACCAGGAAGATCATTGCGATTTGACCAAGAGAAAGGCCAGCCTACGTATGTTAGCCGTGCTCCTGCTGCAAGCGTTCACGTTATCACTTACCTGTTTATTTCCAGTGGGCAATACAGCAGACAGATCAGCAACATAGGGAAGATTTCCCATGTCCGGAGGACTTTGGTCGGCGCTTTTCTTTTCGTTGACCATGTTCTTTGGGGCCAATTGGAGCAGAAAGAACTCAATGACTTTGGATCCTGCCGGTGTACCTGACAGAAACACCACTATTTGCTTGGCGTAGTCCACGAAGTTCTGCTCTCGTCTTTCAAGAGACAAAAGTATGATGAAGTCGAGGATCAATTGCACGTTACCGCCATGTGGGCCGGTGGCCAAGGCCTGCCAAAGTGCCTGTACTTCGTTATGAAGTACACTGCTTGATTTCACAGTAATCTCAAACAGGTTGGACAACAGCATGTAGGACACCGCCGTGGGGCCACCGTTGGGATCAACCTGTAGTTCCATCACCTGGATCCAGGGAAGAATGGCTGCCACCATATTTCGCTGGTGGTCAGTACTCACGCTCTTGAAATGGAGAGAAAACTCTGAGAAAATCAGAAATGCTAGCTCCCCATGAGCTTTGGATAGCCGCCTTGAATATTCAAACTGCGCCAGTTTATAGACCGCAGTAGTCTTGTCAGCGATACTGATGTCAAAATCCCGCAATTTGGAACTGCGTTGCTGCCTTTCTTCCAGCGTCCTCAGGAGATGAGCAGATTTCATGCGGATCTCTCGACTTTCGCTACCGAGCGTGAACAACACTGCTCCGAGGATTCTCCAAAATGCCATGGGATAGTCAGCATGATCAATCAATACCTCAGCAACAACGCCAAAATAGCTTTCCAAAGCCTTCAGTTTCTCTGATTCATAACAGCGTTCAATAGCATGTTCCATAATATAAGGATATTCTTTATTGTGAGTAATCAGTTCCCTGAGGGCTCTTCTCCCGATGGCATGCAATTTGTCGCTCAAAGTTGCGAAAATTGATTCAATCCATGAAAGCATGCGAGGAAGATTGAATTGGAGGACTGCCTTACTTTCAGTTTTGATGGTGATTGGCCCAGCGCAGAGCGAAGCCATGGCGCTCAATGCAGCAACGCGAAGACTAGTTTTCTCCTTCTCCATTGCCGCAGAGACATTGGTTCGTTCACCTGATTCCTGCTGCTGCTCGATCGCGAATTGCCTCATCGCATCCTCCCGCTGAGATATCTGACTAGGATTTGCAGAATATCCGCACCAGTCTTCCATTAGTGTAAAAGCAGACTTTCTTGACTCGAACGGGAGCCAGCGGGACGGGTTTCGGGAGCGGTTAATACCTTCGAAGAGTTCTTCCATCAAACCACAATAGTGAAATCGTAGCTTCTGAAATTTCCAGTCATTTTGAACTTCGGCGTCACTCAAGAATATTCTCAAATCTTTCGAATACACAACTAGATTATTCAAAATCCAATCATCGTTGTAAACTTCGGGAACCTTCAAGAAAGCCGAAGTCAGCTTGTAGACATGAGTGACCTCAGTCCGCAGTCGATCGGTCTTCGGGTTTCTCAATGGACTGCTGGGAGTACGATGATGGGAGCCAATTCTTGCCTTTGCTTCATCATTGCAAGTTGTCACAGCGTATTGCAGAGACTCGAGCAGAGTTCTATACAAATTCTTGTTGATCGATCCCAGAGCCAAGACAATTGCGTTACGGATTGCGTCAGGGCCTGCAGATAACAGCGGTATCACAGCCGAGAACAAAGACCTTGCAGAACCGATCTTATCCTGGGAAGCTGTCGCTGCTCTTGATGCTTTCCGAGCATGAACAGCGTTTGCTAGCTGACTCTGTGATTGTGCCCCAGAATGGCTCAAAGTAACACAAGCCATGGTCAGATACAACTTCCACTGCTCGATCAACACGTCTGGAGGTGTTGCTGCATTTCGTGCTGCCATCTTGGATTCTTGGGCCACGTGTTGCGGCGATCTTATATGGTCAGCCAGGAACTCAATGCTGCTCTGCATCTGAACCAAGCGGTCACAGACTTTGAGCCGACTGAGCGCAATGACATTAGGGCACATCTGATATGTGATTCTGATGAGGTTGGGAAATATCTTCAACCACAGGGTCGAGTCGTATGGTCCCTCACTGCTGCATATTTCAATCAGAGTGTTCTGAGTCGCACTTTTGCGTTTGCTCTTCTGCAGCCGACTACGCTCTGCAACGTTGAGGTGGTCTTCATTGAGGTCCAGTATCCTTTGTAAGTCGTCCTTCAAGATCCGAATGATTCTGTTGGACTGTTCACTTCCAAGTGCTCTGTCAAAATCTGTTACCATACGAAGAACCTCAATAGCGAAAGTGCGCACTCGACGCGATTGAGAACACAGAAAGAAAAGCCCATACGACTCGATTTCGTCGACTTGTGTAAGGACATTGGACTTCTCCAAGCGGACGCCACGAACAACACCTGCACCGTTCTCGACAATCTCTGTGTCTGCTCGAATTTTCTGTCTGATTTCCTGTGTCCATATTCTGAGGAGCTCGATATACAACGTAAGGGTCGTCTCAATGTGTCCGGGACCAAGCATACCCTCATCTGACATCGTTGAATACTTCAGGTCATAGTTGAAGATGAAACGTGGATAGCCAATCGCGACTGGTTGAGCATGGCCTTGCCTGGCTATTGACTTGAGTGATTGTGATGAGGAGGCGGCAATATTGGATTGAATGTGCGCGGAGCCGGTGCACAATAGATTGATCAGAGAGGTGAATGGCACATGCTCAGACAGACAGCGAGGCAGAGCTTGAATTGCCACATGTAGCAGGTCATAGTATGCTTGTTTCTGATCAATAGACTGTCCTTCGTCCTTCTGCCTGAAGCCGAAAGTCTCGGCCAAAGGCGTTTTAGGAGCAATTCCTCCAAACTTTTCGTTCAACACTGCTTGTCCACCAAAGGTGTTGTCACATAAAATGGTAATCTTGCCAAGTATCTGGCAAAAGCCCAGATAGTAATGTTTTGCTACATCCCCGAGCTTCGTTGTATTGACTGGGCGTGAAAGGATATCATCCTGACTTGCAATCCTGGGATTCGGATCAGCGAGCAATTGTGGCCGAGAATACGCTGACGTGGTTGGAAGTGGCTCGACCATGGACGCTGTAGGAAACCTTTGTGGAAAGGTTGGTCTTCCCTGATCCCCTTTCTCCAAGTCAGACATTATAGCCAGGAATGCGCGTATACCAATAACCATCTTCTCTGGCTCCATCTGCTCAATTTTCAGGTCTTTGCCAGATGTGAAAAGGTCAGAGTTGATCAGTGGAAATATAATAGTGCGGAAACAGAGCTCTTGGTGTCTGAATCCAATGATTCGAATTAGTTCTATGAGCGGCTCTGCAATGAACGGATCAGTAGAGAGATGGGTCTTCCTTCCTTGCGGTAATGCAAGTTTGATGATATCCTCTATTTTTCGAGTCGTGCCACCAGAAGATTCCGCATACCGATAGAGATATGTCCACGTCAATCGACAGATGGCCTGTAGCGCTGGACCTCTGGTAGGCCTTTCCTTGAGCTTGGGGCCCAAGCTAGAGATTGCAGGAAGCCACTGTGCCAGAAACAGCTCTTTAGGCGAAACGCAGAGAAGCAGAGCCCAAAGCGGGTACGCTGTGTTCCAATGGCGTACCTTCGCAAGCATCTGGGTGAGTCGCATGTTGAGCATATCCAAAGATTCCCTCCATCTTGACAAAGACAGGTCACTTCTAACGTCTAATGCGATTGCCAGGAGCCATTTTTCCAGAATATGACAATAAGCCTGTTTGATACGCGAGCCATGAGAACTCACAAACAGCCGACCAATATTGCGGATGAACTCCGCTGACTCGATCCAAGATGCCTCAGGGAAGGATCTGACGTGCACATGCCTCATTCCTAGAATCAACAATTCTGCACGACTTTCCAACTCTCTTGCTACTATGCTTCCAGCATTTCTGGCGATTTCTTTTTGGCAATAGTCAAGCTCCTGCAAAAATCTCTGGGCCACATTGACGAAATCAATCTTGCTCATTTGGCCTAGGAGTTGCCCGTAGATCCGCCAATTGGCCATGCGAAGGCTTGAGCTCGCAATCTGTGTTGGGTCAAGCGTTTTCAGCTGACCGAATATTATGTCTTCGAGCTTTGCTGCCAGGTCTGTTGTAATTGCAGCCATTGTGCTCTGCTCGAAGATCTCGATCAAGACCCTACACACAAGATACACTGACACTGTGGCCCTCCGTTCCGTCAACACTACCTCTTCGGCAAGCGATCCAGAGAGCACGGTTGTGGCATCGTTGTCGCTATGCAAGCTGGTCATGTTGCTATTAGAATGTACAGGTTCGGTGTTTCTTCGTAGTAGACCTGGAGGAGCGCTATTCGAGGGCGGTGTAGATTTCTGCTGGTTTAACTGATTCTTCGCCTGAGAGGCCGCTTCTGCCTTTGCCTTCCGCCAATACATTAAGCTGTCAATTAGGGGCTTGGGTTTCAGACGAACGATATGACCTAAAGCTTTAATCAACTGATCAAAAGTAGGATCAACGCCATGTCCGCACAGTTGCTCCACAGGTGTAGCCATTTCGCCGATACTTGCAATGCAATGGTTAATCTTCTGATCAGCCTGGTTAACAAAGGCATTGAGCAAGTGATGTAGCGCATATTCGCCAGGTGTCCTTGGTTCTGAACGCTGTCTAGAATGTGATGGTTGTTGGCCATGTCCTTGCCTCGATCGTGAGCTCAAAGTAGGTATCCTCTGGTGGCTCACTCCATGTGACAAGTTCATCGGTATGGTTTGGTCGGTCATGGTAGAGCCCGAGAGACCTTGGACGTGTGAAGAGCTAGCTATAGTGCTGGTTGTAAGTGGAGAAGATAGCTCAGGGCTCTTAATAGTTGAATCGATACTCGCGTTGCTGCCTGCATTGTAAGCCTCGGGCGTTGAAGGGCTATTTGCTGTAGAGGTGTTGAAGCTGGGATTCCGCGAGTGCTGGAGTCCGTGTATAACGGAAGTTTGCCTATGATGGCCATATGAATTCGAGGCTTTCCTCTCCAGAACTCCCGTCGACCGGGCATAGCTCGCCTCGGGTTGGGAAGGCTGAGCAGATTGAGCTCTGCCAGGCAATTGTAGAGGCGCAGCTCCGAAAGCAGAAGAATCTATCACTCGTCCTCTAGCACTTGATGTATCTTTGTTGTGGGATGTAATTGGCTGAACACTTTTGGCAGGAAATCGTTCTGCAAAAGGGGAAGCATAGTGGTTGGATGTCGAGATACTGTCAGGTGGATTGGTTTGGGTTGACTGAGTAAACAGTGCCTGGCGGGCTTCCGAAGTAGCATCTACAAGGTAGACAAGATGCATTAGCAGCTGCGGTTAAATGGTGCACTCAGATGGTACACTGAATGCAGAAGAGCTTCTCGTGAATTGGTAGAGGGGCCGACTGAAAGGGCAGGCTCCGAAACTGATATTCACTTACGACTGTGCAGCATCATAAGTTGCTACAGGTGCTCACGATGATAGTACCATGTGATGAGCACATTGCATCATAGAACCAGACGATGAGTTGGAGGCCCTAGCGAGTTCTGGAGAATGGAAATCTGAATCTGGCGGTGATGGTAATGCTGACCCACGGAAAGCCGTGAAGGCGTAAAGTTAAAGGCGTGATGGCGGGAAATCTTGGCTTGGGCTTGGATTCCCTTCCACTTTTAGGGCCCAATCACCAGCTTAGTGGCACATGGGCTTTTCAGGAACCCCTGGCGTACTCCGTACCTACATTAGCTTGAGTCTAACTTGAGCTGATTGAGCGCCACGACTCTTTGTTAATATGGTGCTCACGAGCACGAGGTATGGAGATATCATTTGAATCTTCTTCGGGTCTTTTTTCCCAAATGATATCGAGTTTAAACGAGAAAAATGATAGTAATCACTTAGGCTGATGTACTTAGCTTACGAAAAGAAGTGGTCACCCTTAATGCACCATTTCGCTCCGTCAGGAAAATTCCATCTACTCTTTGTTCTTACGCCTTTCTCGATTGCTCCAGTTACACCGTTGAAAATCTGTTATGAAGTTCATTATGGAGTCTTATGGACACAGGCAGTATCCTCTTGAAAGACGAAGATTGCTAACGATGCGTCCATTGGCAACACGGTGATTCTTCCGCTATGCTCAGATTTCTATCAGCACTTCCAAAAATTTACGACTCTATCATGTTCAAGCAGGAGGCCCAGTTATAAGTATGCTGTATGCCCTTAATATTGAGGACAACAAACAGTCCTCCAGCTTTGCTTACCAGACACGGTTCCTAGCAACGATCTTTGATTGATTCTTGCTTTACGATCTCGACTCACCTGCTATGGCTGGCGCTGCTCTTAGTGGCCCACCCGGCGGACATTGGGATAACCCTTTCCTAACTAACGATCAAGAGGGTGCTGGGGGAGTTGAAGAGGCAGTACTCATCTATACACACTAACGTTTTGATAGATCTTATGACATTGAGTGATAGCGGTTCTGATTAGACCGAGCGATGTGCTCTTTAGGGTTCATAAACATTTGTGGGAGACCAAGACCTGTTCCTTTACCTACCACCCGGATTCTGGTAGAATGGCACATGATTCGGATCAGGAAGACGCACCTCGAGCACGAAACGGCGAGCCCATCCCCTGTTCTTTACGTGATGTCCAGACTGGTACGTTCCGCATCTTTGAAGAGCTGCTCTACGAAAAGCCGATTAGGGTACCTGCGAGCTCAGCTGTACTCAGGAAGTTTTTGGACGCTTATTTGCTTGCCACTCGGTACAAAGCCTTTCGCTTGCTAAACAGGATTATGGATGGCGTGCGCCAGTATCCCTTAGGAAAGGTCTTCAAGTTCGAGTTCCTCACTTACGCACTCGACCGACACACCATTCACCTTGACCAAAAGCCACCGCTGGTGGTAATTGGGACCCCACGTCCGCTAGGTCTTCCAAAGAATTGCAAAATCATCGTCTATCTCATGGACAAAATTATATGGGATATCGTTGATCAGGGGCTGGAGATTTGGAAGAGGGACAATCCAGGCTTGGATGGGGTTTTTGACCAAAATTCTGAGGGTATTCAGATGTCTCTATTCAGCGCTCTTGCGAGGCTGGGAACGGATGGGAAAGGGCCAGACGGCCACGCCTGGAGGGGTCAAACAGACTTACTATGTCGGAATGAGACAAGTTGCTGTCGCTCCAGCACCTAAACCTGAGGAAAGTCAGCAAGCTGCAGGCCGGCCGAGTCGACGACGGAGACGCGAATGATTGGCACTCCTTGCAAGACCATCTGACTTGAAGGAATAGGGAAGATACAAAGAAGTGGTGGAAAGCATGCAGCTCTTAGAAAGCATTGTTAAACTCTACTTCAGTTATGTCTCACAAGCAAAGCCTTGGCATCTAACCTCACGTCGAAATCAAGCATTGTGTTACTCCTCTACTGTATTACCTTCCATGGCTCTCTTTCATGGTGTCGCAATGCAGCAAAGGCTGTCGTTGGGATTGTTTTGGGACATGCAAAACGCGGCTCCCCTATGGGATCCATGAAGATGAGATGTTAGTACCTTATTGACTAAGATGGTTGATAGCTAGCTGCGGTTCTCAGCAATGGCTATTCAAAGTCAACAGCGGCATGGGTTGGGTATAATTACTTCCTAGCGAATCTTCTGAGACTAGCATGACTTTGATCTCATGTAGAGATTTTCCTGTTCACCGAATATTGTACTTCAAAAAGATGGCGGGCATTACACATCTTCCGCCATCAGGGTCTACAAAAGACACATAGACTTTCTTCTGACGACGGCCAAAAATTGGATCTCTCAATCTAGACATTTTAAGAGGTGAATGCAACCTCAGGAAGGGATACATCAACAGTGACCATGTGGAAAGGTAAGCTCGGAATATGACACTGCATATGGAACCTCCTGGTAGCGGCCTTCAGTGAACAGGTGGCCGACAGTTGCATTTATCACATGCCTAATGGTGCGAGGAGGCTCCAGATCTCTGGTATGCGGAGGCAGTAGGTTATGGGAAATCTATCCACTATCCATCCAAAGCATAAGATACTTTGTGCGAATTCTATATGACGACAAACTCATTTCGGAAAGCAATTAGACGATCTGAAGATTTTAGTCACGGCTGGAAAGATGAACAATAGTAGTAATGCAGCCCATACCATGAATTTATCCCCTTGCTAGGATGTGTATCAGATACGGCATTCCCGGATCTATAATTATACGACGCCACCGCAAAGGACATTGGCCATTTTGACTGAAGTACAGAGTAATGCAGGCATAACTACTACCGAGGTTGAGGGTGATCGAGAGACCTGAATCTACTCCGTACCATGGTACTTGATCCATTTCTTCGTGATGAAGTGGCCCACTTACTTTCAGTTCCATTTTTGGCATATTGGAGTGCCCCCCCCCCGGAGCGGTGAAATCCCGTCTACAACTCCGGCTTTCTTCGCGATTCCGCAGCTAAGCAACTGGAATCATCATTGACTTCTTCGGATATTTTTGTTGCTTACTGTTAGTCAAAAGACTTTCTTCCAGTTGCGCAACCGCTGTCATTTTACCTTGGGACCCTGATCGAGCCCACGGTCTGTTTCTCTCTAAACAGTCTCATTTCAAATTTGATGTGCTGCGTCGAAGGATCTCTTGGCTAACCTTCTTGTTGCAGCCCCCGAACAGATCAGGTCGTATTAGGCCACCTTTTCAGTTCGGCGAGCACAGTCCTCTGTCTTGACAGTAATAATAGAATATCGAAGGCCTGGTCCATATCTAATTCACATACCAAAAGTTTGATTATCTACATCCTTCCAGCGTCAAAGGCCTCGACCACTCCGTGTTGCCGCAATGGCCCAGATCGATGCGCTCGATATCGTTGTCCTGGCCTTACTGCTCGTTGGGAGCGTCGCATATTTTACCAAGGGTACATACTGGGGAGTACCGAAAGATCCATATGCATCATCATATGCCAATGGCAGTGCAGCGAAGGCCGGCAAGACAAGGAACATTCTCGAAAAGATGGACGAGAGTGGCAAGAACTGTGTAGTCTTCTATGGCTCTCAAACCGGAACAGCAGAAGACTACGCTTCAAGGCTGGCAAAGGAAGGCTCGTCCCGTTTTGGATTGAAGACCATGGTTGCAGACCTGGAGGACTATGACTACGAAAATCTAGACGAATTTCCAGAGGATAAGATCGCCTTTTTCGTGCTAGCTACATATGGCGAGGGTGAGCCAACCGACAATGCGGTGGAGTTCTACGAATTCATCAACGGCGAAAGCCCAACTTTTTCGAAAGGCGAGGAGGAAAAACCCTTAGGTAACCTCAAATATGTGACATTTGGGCTGGGAAATAATACGTATGAGCACTACAACTCAATGGTTCGCAGGGTCGACGCAGCCTTAAGGAAACTTGGTGCCGACCGCATAGGTGCTGCAGGCGAAGGCGACGATGGCGCTGGAACGATGGAAGAGGATTTTCTGGCCTGGAAAGAGCCAATGTGGGAAGCATTGACAGAGAAGATGGGCTTAGAGGAGCGCGAAGCTGTCTACGAACCAGTGTTTAGCGTTGAAGAAAAGCCTGAGCTCTCCGCGGATGATGATACTGTATACTTGGGAGAGCCAAATAAGAACCACTTGGAGGGCAAGCAAAAAGGACCCTACAACGCACACAACCCATACATTGCGCCGATCGCAGAATCGAAAGAATTATTTACTGTCAAAGATAGGAATTGTCTGCACATGGAGATCGATGTCTCGGGATCTAATATCACTTATACAACTGGTGACCATGTCGCCATCTGGCCAACAAATGCCGGTGTCGAAGTCGATCGCTTCATCAGAGTTCTAGGCCTTGAGGAAAATCGCCACCGAGTCATCAACGTTAAACCGATCGAGGTCACCGCTAAGGTGCCATTCCCTACTCCCACCACGTATGACGCTGTTGTGCGTTATCACATGGAGATCTGTGGTCCTGTCTCGCGTCAATTCGTATCTACCCTCGCCGCTTTCGCTCCGAATGAAAAGGCTAAAGCCGAAATGACTAAACTTGGCACAGACGCGGACTACTTCAAGTCCAAAATCTCATCACAGTATTTGAACATTGCTCAGGTCCTGCATTCTGTTTGTCCCGATCAACCCTGGAGCGCCGTTCCTTTCAGCTGCTTAATTGAAGGTATCAACAAAATCCAACCACGATACTACTCCATCTCCAGCTCGTCATACGTGCAACCAAAAAAGATCTCGATAACAGCCGTCGTCGAGTCAATACGCATTCCTGGCGCAACTCACATTGTCAAGGGAGTAACCACCAATTACCTCCTGGCGCTCAAACAGAAGCAGCATGGTGAACCTCATCCAGACCCACATGGTCTTACCTACGCCATCACCGGCCCAAGGAACAAATATGATGGTATTCATGTTCCAGTGCACGTCCGCCATTCCAACTTCAAACTCCCCTCGGATTCCGCGAAACCCATCATCATGGTCGGGCCTGGAACAGGTGTTGCACCCTTCCGAGGTTTCGTGCAAGAACGAGCCGAACAAGCCAAAAGAGGAGAAAAGGTCGGGCCTACGATCCTTTTCTATGGGTGCAGAAGGAGAGACGAGGACTGGTTGTATAAAGACGAGTGGGATGTAAGTGAACATACATCCTGCAAACCCAAAGCCCGTATCGATGTCTTGGCTACAACACTAATCTTTTTAATTATGCAGTCCTTCAAAGCTTCTCTCGGTGAGAATCTCACAATCTTCAACGCTTTCTCTCGCGAATCCCCGGGCAAGAAAGTCTACGTGCAGCACCTGATGAAGCAAAACGCCAAGCTCATCAATGACCTATTGACCAAGAAATCAAATTTCTATGTCTGTGGTGATGCGGCGCACATGGCGAGGGAGGTAAGCGACATGTTGGCCGAGATCATCGCGGATGAGAGGGGAGTTGATCTCAAGAAAGGGGAAGAGGTGGTCAAGAACATGAGGAGTAGTGGCGCTTACCAGGAGGATGTCTGGTCGTGAGGAGCTTGCCGAAGTATATGAGAGGCATGGGTGGAGGGTGTTAGAGAGAAGGGCTTCTCTGATTGAGTTTGGAAAACGACGCTGAACATGTTTGAAGAGACAAGATGACTGATGATTTTTGGCACAACTAAAGAAAATAGATTGCTTGTGGGGATATCGATTACGTATCATAGCTAACTCGTTATCCCGATATTTAGATTTGGAGTTTTCGCGGCGTTTACTCGAGACGGACGGACGAACGTGAATGGCGCCCGGGGTTCTGTTGGCAAGATGATAAAACGTTCTGCTATGGAAACCTAGCAACTCTACCTTCGTATACAGTCTACTTTTATCCTAGCCTAGAATCCATTCTCCTCTTTTACCTTTGTCTCCACGTACCTTGGGTTACTGTAGCTCGTGAGACTAATAGGCCCCTTGGGTCAATGTCGTAAAGGCGTCCATTCCTCCCTTTTGTGGAACTCGGCCGTATGATGAGTGCAATTTCCTTCGTGAAAAGGCGAAGTCTCAGTGTCAGAAATATCTTCAGGTTTCCGGATCCGAGCAAGGGCTTGCGAAAAGCCTGCTCGACGAAGCTCAGACCAAAGCATAGTAGTTACACGATAAGTACTTACGACGCAGAAGCTCGGCGTATCCGGACGGTCGTCAAACACAAATGGGGCCCTGGATCGCGATACATGTCGTCTGGAAGCTCGATGTTGTTTTGGATACATCGCCATCAGCGGGATAAGGGACACCGCAGTCAGGCAACGACGATCGTGACGGCAACGACGTTCTCTGCACGCCTTGAACATGGCACAGGGTAATCGGCCGACGTCGATACAGTCCTTAGTCGTGTTGACACCGGCGCAATATGGACAATTGTCGCTTCAGCCCAGTTCCCCAAGTCTTCGACGACGCTGCCAATCCATGGATGGATTCCCATTGAAACGTGATCTCGCATGGACATCTCCTGTTTCGCGCCACCCTTTGTGTTGCGGGAGTCTCGGAAGCAGGCCGTTCGAATTCCCATCCGGTTCGCTCGATGAATCGCACGCAGGTGGCTAGAGTGCGCAGCTGGGCCACACGAAGCGCGGCGAGCTCAGCCTGCTCGCTCTGTTTTTATCAGATTCGCAAAATCCGGATGTCGTATTTTATATTTGACAGTATTTTCTGTTCTGTGAGGGGGGGTGCATTGTCGTTCATTGTGGAGTGCTCTCTGATGCAAGGTTTGGGAAGACCAGTCCGATATCTTGCCTCTAAGAAGAGGATCTCCATATCGGGTCCATCGGTGCGTTGGTTGTTAACATTATCCGTAACCCGCTCTGGCGATGAACTCTCTAGTGTACGTATTCTGACTGATGACGATGATTTTTTTGACTACTTCTTAATTCTTGATTGAATACTGCACGATCCCACTAATAAGAGATGTACTCCTTGTTCGGGTTCACAAGATGATGATCTGGAAGCCAATCAGCATGATAGTTGACCCATGGCACCAATCTTGCTGCTGGGGCGCAACTCAACCAACGCCTCAAGCTCCGTTCCGTGCCTTCTCCATCTCCTCATTGTGCAGCCCACCCGGGATAGGCGCCTCACGCTGCACGAAATCAACCTTGCCCGCCATCGTGGCCAACCACAGATCCCCAGGTCCAATCTCATGACCAATGCTCGCTGATCCGGCGATCGAGATGGCAAAATTATGCGGGAAACCCAGATCAAAAGGAACTGCAGCATCAATCTCATCCATGTCCTCCTGTGTCAGGCGCACGCTCAAGGCCTCGATGTTGCCCTTGAGGTGTTCGATCTTTCGCCCACCACAGATGGGAAAGACATAAGGCGTCTTGTGCATGACATATGCTAGTGCGATGCCCGTGATGATGCTGCCTTTGCGTTTCGCGATCCTCTCCAGAACCTCAGAGAGCTTAATGTCCTCCTCCGACGCTGGACCCATCTTGCGGCCATCCTGGGCCTCGCGCTGTTCCTTGGTCTTGAAGTTTCCGCTCCCGAGAGCACCCCAGGGACAGAGCGCCATGCCCTCAGCGCGGCACATGGGGATGATGTCGCGCTCGAAGTCTCTGGTTGCGGCGGACCAACGGCCCTGGTAGGCGACGAAGGGCCGGAGGCCGTGCCCTCGAGCGTACTCGTTTGCTTTTGCCACGATCCTGTAGGTGGGGTTTGGTCAGTCCATTCCCATAAAACCGAAGGAGATATCCATAACCTACCAAGCAGGCGTATCCGAAGCCCCCAGATAGATCACTTTGCCACTCACCACCAGATCGTTCAGTGTATGCATCAACTCAGGAATACTGGTAGTATAGTCCCACCAATGCAACCACAAGAGATCAATATACCCCGTCCTCAACTTCTTTAAACTCGCCTCCACCGAAACCCTCACCCCTTTACTATTATTGCCCCCAAAATTACTCTGAATAATCTTGTCATGGCCTTTGTAAGCCTGATACGCAGTCGAAAACTTTGTCGCGATCACCATCTCATCCCTGCAACCCCGTTCGGCCATCCAATCCCCAATCCACGTCTCCGACTCCTCGTTCTGGTAGTTGGACGCCGTGTCAACGAAGTTGCCGCCATTTTCTTTGAAGTAGTCGAGAAGAGCGTAGGTCGTTTCCTTGTCGCAGGAACCTAGCACGTCCTTCCACGCGGTGCCGAAGGACATGCCGCCCAGGCAGAGGGGGGAGACGCGCACGGCAGCATTTGGGGCCAGTTGGCGGTGGTAGCCCAGGAGGGATTTGGGGGGGCCGGCAAGGGGAAAAGCCATTTGGATTGAGTAAGCGGGGCTAGATTTCGACTGTCATGAAAGATGGGTTGGAACTCTGCAGAGCCAGTGAAGGAAGGGCAGATATGGGAGGTCATGGTGAGGGCGGTTTAAATATGCACAATTGTGCGCCCTTGAATCGGTCTTTAGCCATTATTGCCGGCATAAAGTCCACCAGTAGCCTGTATGAACAACTAGGTATTGTCGTTATAAGGTGGGGTTGAAGAATGTTTACCGATGGACAACTTTCATCCGTGGTGTTCCGCCTTTACCAGCTTGGCCGTGAAGCTATTACGGATTTGACGGTCTTTCTCCCGCGTGATTTGCTCGTTCGCTCTGGGGCTTGATCAAGATAGTAGCCAGATAAGAAACAGAGGCAGCTGTTTGCGTGGTAAACTAGATTTACAAATCAAGCGCTTACTATTTAATGGTCTAGTTGCAGATACGTGGAGCCATGTGGATAGGACAGAGCTCGGACCAAATGATGGACACGGCCAGCCAAGGACTTCTCGGATGGACGAGCATGGCCGGCTTTATGCGCAGACACTATCAGTCGCAGCAGGATATTCTTTCTGCTCTTCGCCCCATTCATCCCAACGTCCCTCATCCTAGCATCATTCTGCGCATGCATGCACTTTCCCACGTTCTCAGATCGTGCGCGAGCGGCTTTGCCACCGTAGCTATGGTTGCCGTTCTCTGTTGGTCAATGCTGCTCCCTGGGCATCACCCACAGGGAAAACCGTTCTGCAAACCCGAAGGTGGCCTGATCCATGGCTCCTGCATTATCATCTGCTTATAGGCTGACAATTCTGGCAGCGTGATGCTTGCTCTCAATATCGAACACGGTGAGATAAACTGTTCGACTAGCCTAGCAGCTCGACGTCCAGGCCAATGGCTCGCATGAAAAGGTTGACATTGCTGAGCCGCTGACTCGACATGTCAGCTGGCAATGTCCTGCTTTGCATCACTGTCTCCATGACACGATCCCTGAGTAGAGTCACGTCAGCTTTGGTTTAGAGTGGGAACCGGGATTTGCTTACTTGACACCAAGGACCAATCGTTGTTGCTGCTCGGGACTCGCCCCGACGCCAACAGCAGCCAAAAACTGCCATATGTACATATCGTCACCTGTATTGACCGGGCCAGGGAAAAGAGCACCAAGAATAGGCTCCAAGGTATCGAAAAGGCGGTCGTAGAGGCTTGTCCACTGGTGCCAGTCTTCATCGTTGACGTTCCCGGACTCCTTGACAAGCTCAGCGCGGCTGAGCAACATGGTCAAAATGCCGAGACCAATTTTCGTCTTTGCTACAGTAAGGACCGTGGTGTGGTCAAGGACAAGACCCAGCAGGCCAATGATAATGTTGATTGGAGCCTCGCTGACATATCCGAGGAGACATGGCATTACCACCTGCGAAAACAACTCGATCTCCTCACGGACGAGCGGGGGAGGGTGCGATTCTCCTGGCGCAATCTGCGCTCTGCTAATGACATCCAATTGATCAAGGTGAACGACGATCATGGTCAGTATAGTTACGCGCTGTTCCTGGTCGATGTGGCGGAAGATTCTGGGAATGCTTTTCTTCCCTTTTGCAAACGATAAGAAGGCAATGAAAGGATGCGGTACAGTGGAACCGGGAACGATGGGCTCCAGGACTTTAAGGTCCCGCCACAGTTTCGAATTGAGCACTTGTGTCTTTTCACGCCACTCCATGTGGGTTTGAGCAGCTTCCACATCGCCTGCTGTTGGCGGCGGCGGCATCTGCCTTTCGTGGTCTTCTAGTTGCATCAGGTCCTGATAGACTGTCTCGAGGTTCCGCAGTACGCTTTTACGGTCGCTGGACCTCACTTCTGCATTTGCCTTCTTACTGGTAGCCGGCTTTGAATCAGTGCTTTCAGGTCGCTTGATGTTAAGGAGCGGCTTTGGTGTTTTTGCATTACTGAACGAGATTTTCCCTAAGCTCCCTTCAATGATCAGTTGTTTGTTCTTGGGCTTTAGTTTGGCCGCTTCAACCGCACGTTGCACTTGTTGCTGCATTCTCTGCATGTGATTGTCTCCATTGACCGCCTGTCTTCTGTTGTTGAGTCGACCACCTGTCTGTAACAGATAGGTTTGCGCAAAATGGCCCAGCGGCTGGGTCGGATGCTGCCTTGGAGCTCCCCGGATCTGGCTGTAGACTTGATAGTAGAAGTCTTCCGCTAGTGTAGCCTCCGGATCTGCATCGCCTGAATTACCAGTAGCCGTCACAAGCTGCTGTAGTTGAATTCTGGTAATGAAATTCTTGTCCTGAGGGGTCATGAGACCATTTCCTTTCGATAACAGAAAGATCTTGTGATTGCGCTTTGCTCGCTTAGCATCTTCCTCGAGATAAGCCCTTCTCTGCTCTTCTGACAGCTGCATAGATTGCTGCGGATGTGTTATGACAGGAATCGTGGGAGTTGGCTGGCTAGGCCTTGAAGGTTGCGCGTCTTGCATAGTACCTCGATCCTGGCTCGGCTGCGGCGAGTGCTGAGCTCTGTTTGGATTTTGTAAGATCTGAACAGGGTGTTGGGCAGGCTTAATAGCTTCTTGTTTGGAAGGGTTTCGCTGGTGGTGTTGAATTGGCTTTGTGGGCTGCGGCTGGTGCTGAGTGACCATCGGGTGCTGTTGGGGATCCGGGCTAGCATATTGCCGCATAGGTATTGATTGCTGATACAGATTCTGTGTATAGTCAGGTGGTAGCACCTGCTGGGGTGGAGGGACTGGTTGACTCTGTGCACGCATCGCAGCCTCCACTGCTTCCAGACTCATCATCCTTTTCGCCGGAGGAGCACCACTACTGGCAGTGTTAATCCGCTCCGGCTGTTCTTCCTGGTTGCGTGCCTGCGGTTTTGTGCCCCACACATTTGACTTCGCCTGTATTTCAGGAATATATCCCGGGTCCTGGTACTTTTCATAGCCTGTCTTCTTTGGTTTCTGTGCAGTGATTTGCGCGGTCGTTGCCGAAGCCTTAGGTTGCTGCTGCAAGCTATAGCGGAGTTGTTCCTCCTCGATGGCACTTGATACCTGTGCGGTTTGTCCAAAGAAATCGAAGTCTTTGCTAATCTGGCCCTTTGACATTGTCCCTGCCTCGACGCCTCCGCCAAATGTGTCATCGTTGAAATCATCTCCCGTTTCCTCCAGCTTGTCTCCTAGGCCGTCATAAGTGTCGTCAAATTCTAGTCTGATAGATCGACCTGTCAGTTATGTCACGGGAGGCGACGAAAACGCAACACATACGGCTCTTCCTGAGTGTCTTGGAAAGCTTGTAACTTCCGAGCTTGTCGGACCTGTGCAAAAGGATCTTGAGCCTCAAAAATGCCTTTTGATTTCCCGCTCCTTGGGTCATCCCTCGGTAAAGTCGTATCGAAGCCGAAGAAAGACATTGTCTAACATGGGAAGTAGCTGGTGTTGGACTGCCTCGGATGATTTGGACTCGGAGCGACGTTAGTGATGGGTTCGTGAACGTGTAAGGTGAAAATTCCACTGCCACATCCAGAGATGCTAGATAGATGTTCTCTTGCAAAAACCTGCGTATGGTTTCACCGAAGAAGGTGAAGATCTGGATCAAAGATAAGTATGCAACATACACTGGGAAACGAGATGTACAGTCGTGCGGCAAGCTTGGAGCAATGATGTTCATCAATACATTTGGCCTGATTACAGTATGTACTGTACGTATGTAGTGGGGTTATATTCCTGTCCCTATGTGTGCAGCAGGGGTCCAGGCACGAGGGAACCTGGCAAGAATGTATGGACGAAATTCAGGAGACACCTCGAATCAACCACTTGAGCCCTTCTCCTATTCATGACATCCAGGTCTTAGAACAGAGTTGACCTGTGTTTTCGCCGATCTCTTTAGCTCTAACTGAGCATTCCTCGCGGTGTGCGTTCGACCCGTTCCGGTGTCACCCCCTTGAGGACACCTTTCTCGGCGTCATATCGGGCTCCTTTTGCTTCCTCTACATGCCACCAAGCGAAATCAACGAGAAACGAGAAACATTTGATCTACATTTGGACCGGTCTGAGGGTGATATTTGCCAGACTGCAGCGCATGAAGGCGGCAGTCTCGAAATTGGAGCGCTAGAGAGAGACATGGCATCAGGCTCGGCTCGGTACTTACGATATATTCTTTTTTCTGTTTTCGTATGGCCGTTCCTTGACATGGTACCCTAAAGTACACAGATGCTGACAGTTACAAGGGACTCTTGATATTATACTTCATCTCGTCATCCGCTTTACCCTCAGCAAATTTGCCCACGGCACCGGGATTAGGAACGAAATGGTCTGGCCACGAGAAGCAGCCGGATCAGAAAAGTGCAGACAGCATCAGCAGTAGCAGCGCAGTCCATGAGACGCCAAAAGCTTCGCAGGCTCCGACAACGTCAAAGCCTGAGGCAGCGTTGACTCCTGCCACTACCCCTGCCCCTGGCGAGCGAATGAATGCAACTTTTGTGACACTTGCTAGAAACTCGGATATTTGGGACATCTCGAGATCCATCCGACAGGTCGAAGACAGATTCAACAGGCAGTACAATTACGACTGGGTATTCCTGAACGACAAGCCGTTTGATGAGGAATTCAAGAAGGTGACCACGTCTTTAGTGTCAGGCAAGACGCATTATGGCGAGATCCCAGAAGAGCATTGGTCATTTCCTTCGTTCATCGACCAAGATAAAGCTCGAAAAGTGCGCGAGGACATGGCGCACCGCAAAATTATCTATGGCGACTCGATTAGCTATCGGCACATGTGCCGCTTCGAAAGTGGATTCTTCTTCCGCCATGAACTGATGAATAAATTTGAGTACTACTGGAGGGTAGAGCCAAGCATTGAGCTGTTCTGCGACATCCATTACGATCCGTTCAAGTACATGAAGGACCATGGTAAGAAGTACAGTTTTGTCCTCAGTCTATACGAATATGTGGAGACTATTCCAACTCTGTGGGATAGTGTAGTCTCGTTCATGAAGAAGCACCCAGAACACATTGCAGAGGATAATTCAATGGGCTTCCTTAGTGATGACGATGGCAAGACGTACAACCACTGTCATTTTGTATGTTGACTCTTCCCATTTTCTCACGTCCATTGACAAAGTGAGTAGTGGTCCAACTTCGAAATCGGCAACCTCAATTGGCTCCGCTCACAAGCTTACCTCGACTACTTCAACTCACTGGATCGTGCCGGCGGATTCTTCTATGAGCGCTGGGGTGACGCTCCAGTCCATTCTATTGCTGCAGCCTTGATGCTCAAAAAGGATGAGATCCACTTCTTCAACGACATCGCTTATTATCATGTTCCATTCACGCACTGTCCGACTGGCGATGCCTTGAGGGAAAAGCTCAAATGCCATTGCAATCCTGACAATAATTTTGATTGGAAAGGGTATTCATGTAAGTCTCCTCCTGCTCACCCCAATATGGCGTGATTGTCTGACTGGTAGGACAGGTACTTCTAGATTTTATGATCTCAACAAAATGGAAAAGCCCGAGGGCTGGGAAGCTGAGTCAGGATGACTAGCCGGCGTTCTTGTAGCTTTGGGCATCTTGGTCCTTGTACTAAGCGTGTTCGCACTGTGGGTTTTCCGTGTACCAGTAATAAAGACTAGGGTTGCAGCATTGGTTAATCGTCATACGCAATAGCATGCACAGGGAAGCGCGTCCGCATAGTATTGCATTGAAGCCAGGCTATCCTAAGATTAGCACTCTATCATATAGGCAATTATCAAAAATTTCGATACAGGTATACAATGTCCCAGCCAGCTCAACGTGTGCTGCTGTGACTCTGTGCGCTGCCGACAATGGCCAATATACATGTTCCACATATTATACAACCTTCTGTTAATACGTTCTGGAGGATGTACTGCCGGTCTGCGTACCGGTCGGATCTCGATCGTACAAAGGAGGATCTTCCTTTCGGATATCACCTTTTGCATGTCACATCCCCATTCTTTATTCTTACCATTCAGACCCCAATTCCGCCGCAGCGAGCTCAGTCAATCCGCGTCCAGTCCTCAAACCTTTGCTACCTTAGGCTTTTTCGTCCCATACTTCGACCTACTTCGGATCCTGTTCGCCACACCTCCCTAAGCAAACATCAGCACCATCGCATCCCTATCACAGATGACGAGCACCACTTACCAAGTCCAACGAACCCCTAACCAAATGATATCTCACACCGGGACAATCTTGACTCCTCCCGCCTCTTACCATAACCACACTATGTTGCTGTACATTATGCCCTATAAATTCATACAGGCAAGAAGATTAGCCCCTCAGCCCATCACCATCTCCAGTACTCTTCCCCCCCACTAAAAACAGCCACCCCTCGTAGCCCAACCTCCAGAATTGCGAAACAGGAACTCGAACGACTCACCTTCCCCGGGAATATAAGCACTAATGACCTTCCCACTACTCAACCTCACCTTGGCCGTCTTCCTCTGTCCCGAATTCGGCTTCTTCGGCTTCGTGATCCCGACTTTCAGACACACGCCTTTCATCTCTGGTCGGCCGACCAGGGCGGGCGAAAGGGAGCGGCGCTCCCTCTTCACCTCGCGGCCTTTGCGGCGGACCTGGTTGAGCGTGGTCAGGTGCGGAGTTGTAGTTGAGAAGGAGCGCGAGGCGGGGGCGGGATGGGGTAGGCGGAGGATAGGCCGCACAGAGGTGATGCTGGGTCGTTGAGGATGGATTGGGAGGGCAAGAGTTTGGAGGGCGCGGATGGCCAGAGGGGAGGGCGTCGGTGGCATTTTTGTAACTGGGCGCTCGCGGGTAGGATTTGATGTTTCTGTCGCTTAGTAGGCGAGCTGCCAAATGGAGAGCATTTTGAAGGAACACGGAAATGAAAAGGCGTATTGTACGGCTTGACCAGACTTCGTACAGGGTGCACTTCAGTTTGATATTCCATCTTTGGTTTTGAGGTTGCAATGCCAAGATGAATTACGTAATATAGCACTAGTCCTCTTTAAAGCGATTTGCCTCTCTGGTCATTATAAGTTATGGATGCTTTGCTCTACGTCCCCTTTACAGGCACAGGACATAACCACACATTCTCGCTGGAAACTTAGTGCCGATTGTTAGAGGATGTAGCAAATAGCGTACGGAGATACCAATTGAATTGATTGAGTTACTCCTATCAAGAGGAGCATTTGGCTCACACTAATAGCTATAGAAGCGCATTACTGCAACAGCTCAGAAACAGCATTTGGCGTTCAATTCGTATAGCAATGCTCACTGCCATAAATAACAGGGCGTAAAAGTTACAAGAGCGTTTCGTGCGTTTCGCATGCGGGGACCCCTGTATCATCCTGCTAATACGTAACAGATACGTATCGTATGCGCAGGGATTCTGACACCGATTACATTCGCTGATCAAAAAAGCGAGGGTTTATATCTAAATGTGAACTTGATCTTCTATCCAGCATCAAGCTCTTCGGTCTTTCTTTTTGCTCTTCACCTTCTCCACAAGCTTCCGCACATCATCGGTCTCGTGGTTCGCCATTGATGACGATCCCTTGAGCATCGTCCCGAATCCTGCGTCTTCCAAATTAGTATCCTTTTTCCTGTATTTGCGACCCTCCTCGAGAAGTGCTTTCATTCCCTCCGTACCCTTGAATCTCGGATTCGTAGGATCAATGGCAAATTCGTGGTTCTCATATAGCCTTGAAAAGCGTGGATCATGCGTATCCATCTCAAAGCCAGCTTTCTGCGACTTCTTTTCGGTGTCGAATTCCTTCTTACCCTTGCCCTTCTTGCCCTTCTTTTTGGCAATCTTTTCTTCTCTCTCGATCGCTTTCATGTCAAAATGCCGTATACCTTTACCATCATCATCTTTGTCATCCACCATTAGGAGCTCTAGCTCAGCTCGCTTCGCTGCAGTGGCAGCTTCCTCAGCTTCTCGTTCAGCACGTTTCCTCAGTCGCTCCTCTTTCCGCATCCTGGCAGCTGATACTTTATCATGTTCAGGAGCTGCAAAAAACGGGTCGTCGAATCCAAGGTCCTCTGGTGGCTCATCTGATGTCTTCCCATCGGGGAGTTTGCCGTCAATTATACTCCCAACCCCATCCCGATTGTGTCTCATCTTCTCTTTTCTCTTCTGTTTGCGCTCACGCTCTTTTCGAGCATATTTCTCAACAGTCGTTTCCTCGACCTGTGGCTCGTTCTCGAACACAGATTTCTTGATGCCGTTGGCTCCTGAAAGACCGGAAGAGAACGTAATCTGCAATTCCCCAATAGGACCATCATTGGATTTACTCTTTCTTTTGGGCTCGTCTTCGAGGCCAAGGAGAGCCCGCATCTTCTGTCTTTCTTGCTCCTTTTTCGACAGGCTGCTACCGACAACCGCCTCCAAATCAAGATGAGCTTCCTCGTCGCTCGAAGAATCACTACCCAGATATGCTTTGAGATCATTTTCATCGATATCCTTTCTGCTACCTCTGAATGCTTTAGCCTGCGCCTCTTTTCTTGAAGCGTCTTCGGCATCCCATGTCAGCTTGACATTGCTATGCTGTAGAGCATCTGTGACGAACTCGTTCGGCTTGTATCCGTCAGGAATCTTTTCGCATTCCTCGCGTGGTTTATCATCTGAGAAGTCAGTGTCGTCAGGGACGAAACGCAAATCAAAAAAATTCGCTGTAGTCAGATATTCTGTCCCATCAACGGCATCATAGACAGCCTTTGCGACGTCTGGCGAAGAGAATGCAAGAATGGCATAGAAATACTGTAGCCGCTGCAATTGGTACCGCCGTAAGGCTGCAGAGTCAAAATCCTCGCCTGTATCTGCTTGCACTATGGAATCTTTGATCTGCTGCTCATCGTCGTCATCCATGACAGCCGCTGGGCCTGCTGTGTCTTCTTTCACAGAAGTAAAGATCTCCTTTGGAGGTCCCTCCGTCTCTTCTCGCTCCATGCGCTCCTTTCCGAACTGGCTGGGATAGATTGAGACATTGAGCAGACGACCACCAGAGGGAAGAAAGCTTGAAAAGACAGCCATGAGATCAGCTGCATGTATATTGTCCCAGTCTAAATTCACAACCGCTACTCTAGAAGAAACTTCCCCCATTGGAATTTCTCCGCCTTGCTGGTTTCCAAGCGCCACAAGCTGACCTCGCTCATTCTCATCAACCTCATCTTCGTCGCTAGAAGATTCTTCGGAGGATGACGACTGGGGGTAGCCTCCATCTCGAATGGGGTCGAAGGCTTTCTCTACCCTCTGGAGCTCCTTTTGGACATCATCGTCATCGTCTAGCCGGTCCTCAAATTCGTAGCGTCTTTTCAACCTCTTGCGCTCCATGTCAGCCTCCAACGGGCGGCCATATCTGTCTACTTTGGCTTTGCGTCCGAAGTCGTCATCCCGCAACATATGCGAGAAACGCTTGTCCACCTTGACATGGGTACGGCGTTTGCCTGGGAGACGATAACGAGGGTCGGACTGAATATTGGAGAATCGAGGATCTGTAATGCTTCGTGGTGCATGAGGTGAGGTATCGTCATCTTTGACTTTGCGTTTCTTTGAAAAGGGTTCTGCCATTTCTGCTGCTACTGTCTGATAGTCAACTGTTGCAGACGAATTTCTGTATCTTACAGTCTGACCCAAAGGCTGTGGTTATTTTGAAGACTTTGCAGTTAACTACATAGTACGTAATAAAGAATAAATATTTAGGTTAGAGTCTGTAGCTGCTGTTGGCTGCACTAGTTAAATTAAGCTTGATGCCCCGTTCAGCCCGAGGCTTTGGGAAGTTGGAACCCTGCATTTATTCCTCGCTTGCCGCGTGGGATTCGCCTTCGTTTGAGGGACAGCTTCGATGTAAGGGATGGGGATATTACCAACACCAAGAAGCAAGCTGCGGGGCTATGAGCGTTTCAGGCTCGCCCTCCATGCTTCACCTCTAGTACTTAAACTCAATGTGCGTGCAATCATCAGAATTGCATTCAACCACATCGCTTTCACTTGGACATTACAACACCTATCAGTTCCATAAACAAGTCACAGAATGGCAGTAGGATCTTGTCTGATCACTGGGTATGGATAGCATTGAAACTCAAAAGCCGAGATAGTGCTGACATGTATGTGATGAAGTGGCACTGGCTACATTGGCTCCTTCACTGCGCTGGCGCTGCTTGAGGCTGGTTATAAAGTGGTGATTACGGACAACCTTTACAACTCATCGGCAGAGGTTATCAACCGCATAGAGCTCATCTGTGGGAAACGACCGGACTTTGAGAAGCTTGATATTACGGATGAGGGAGCTTTAGATGCGGTATTCGAGAAGCACTCTGATATCGACTCTGTCATTCACTTTGCGGCTCTCAAAGTGAGTGAGATATATCTCCAGCCATAGTGACGTGGCTCCAAGTAAACACCCGGGCTGATTTGACTGATAACAGGCCGTGGGCGAGAGCTCGGAAAAACCTCTAGAATATTACTTCGTCAACGTCTATGGGAGTATTTGCCTTCTCCGCTCCATGACCCGGCACAATGTCACCAACATCGTTTTCTCCTCCTCAGCGACCGTGTATGGCGACGCGACTCGGGTTCCCGGCATGATACCTATCCCGGAAAACTGCCCTCTTGGACCCACAAATCCTTATGGTAACACGAAACATACTGTTGAGATGGCCATTACAGATCACATTCAGGCCCAGAGAAACAATGCACAGAAAGCAGGCAAGGAGGCAGATGGGG